ATTCACTGACCCAGTTTAGATAACCATAAATAATCAATTGATTGAAATAAACTCCGACGATGTGCGAACATTTTGAAAGCTTTATAAAGGAATAAAAAAAGGTGTCGACATTATTCTGTGTTATAAATAGAATATTATAGGATATTACGCCAGTAAAAGCTGAATTCATTATCGTATACTCTGCACTCATCTTCATTATCAGTTCTCTACTGTCTTGTTAATTTTTCATTCTCACCTATTTGCCTTTGGTTTCCAAACCAGCTATTATTTAACAGGTCAAAACGGCGTCCTTTCCATAAAGGATCGAGCTCGGGGAGAGCGAATTGCGAACCCCTCTCTTTCGGGATTTTAATTCGCATAAATCAAGATGGAATCGATTCGGTCCGAAGCAGAAATCGCTAACGAGAATAATGATAATTGGAGTGTAATTCCCGATTCCGACTAATGATAAATAACCAAATAACCAGTTGATTGATGTTAGCGTCATAAAATTGGCAAGCTGTAATTATACCGTGTGTGCGATCCTTTACGCTCGGCGTCATACAGCGAGAGAGATATGGTTTTGCTCATATCATTATTGTAGCGTAACAATCCGAACATTCGATATACATATTTTTACATATCATCTATGCGTTGTTAGAATTTTAATTAATAATAATTTACGTTAAATATGAACTGGAAATTTTAATCAAGCTCATCAACACATCACTTTTTGTTACAAACAAAAATTGAATATACTATACGTTATCTACCTATGCAGTAGATAAAAAAATTAATTAAACTTTGAAATTGGAAACCCAAAGCTTCCCAAAGCTCCGAGCTTCGAGTAATCGTGGAATCGATACGAGAATGAAGTAAGTGTATTAAAATGAGCCAACCTTACAACCTCATTCCCTTTTATACGCACAAAAAAAACCAAATCATCATCCTAAAGATCCACCACTACATCAAGCCGACTTTTGATCATTCCGACCGTCAAAGCTCTCAAAACAAGTCAAAAATAGAGCGAACGCCCTCTCTCGGACCTTTAGTCGCGACTTTTTTGTCTTTGGGGCCATTCGCAAAAGGCACATCAAAAGAAACCTGTTTTAATTTTGCACCCAAACACAAAAGAGCCTACAGCTTTATCTACGGCGTTCGAAGCGATGCGACAGTAGATAAAAAAAGCTTGCAGGCAAGTACGACAATATCAAAAGTTTACCACGAAAACCGCGGAGATTATTAATTAAGATACATTAAAGAGGTACAAACAGATTATCTACTTAGTCGGTTCTTTTTATAAACGTATTGGTGTGTTAAATTGTAGAGGTATCATTTGCTTTATTAGTAAAGTTTTTTGCAAAGCTCGTAAAAGCTTACAGCTTGTTGCGTTCGAATTTTCATACTATCTTGTAACGGATTCGCAACAAACTAGAATTCAGCGATCAATCGTTTGGCGAAATTCCGTCGTCGAAACTTCCGTAATGCGAGTTAAGACGGCTTCTTTCGGAAGTTTCTCGCAAAGACTTCGTGGATAATTCGGAGTTACCGACCGAATTTTCTGCAATTTCATAACGATTCGATTATTCCGTCTTTTTTGAAAATGACAGTAAATTAGTAATTCTATGACGGTATAAAATTTAATCTCGAAGGAAAAATTCGTGATGACACGAGTGTAATTCAGGTTTTTTTTGGAAAAAAACTGGAACTCATTTTGTGGTTATATTATACCATTCGTTCGACGAACATCCTTATTATCCTTATTTGTTGCTTGTCCACATTTTTTTCCGCGTTTAAAACCGATTCGCAGTGACAACGAAAATCCGATTATATCTCACAATTTCGTCGGGTTTCTTCTACCTCCATTCTACCACCTTTTTTTGTTATTTAATAAGCGTTTAGAATTTAGATTACCGCATCGAAAGGATGGTTTTTGTCGAACGGGAAGGATGAAAAACGGGATCTGTCGGGCTATCCTTTTGAATTGGTTCCTGCTTCTTCCCTTCTTTTCCTGAGGGTAACGTTCGAGTTTCTGATACGTTTCGGATGAAATACGTTTTTATTAAGCCCTTATTGTTAGTTTTTTTGCGGTGTCTTTATTCATGTGCAGGTATATTTATTATGTGCACGAAAGTCGCTAACCAAACTGCTTCAAGTAAACGACAGAACTTCGTTAGTACCGCAAGCACACGATCGGGAGTATCGCAGATGGGTTATTGATTAGTCATTAGAGCAGCCCGATCTGTCGAAAACGTTACGATCCCGTCCTTAATAACGCTTATTTTCCAGGAAGAAAACGGCCAGGGAATTCGATAAGAAACCGAGCAGGTACAGGAGATGTTATCCGATTTTATTGAAACATCTGGTGATTTGCTTTCAACGGGCGCGGAAAAAGTATCTATATAACGTTAATAGAAATATATATCTTTTGAAATATCCGTAATTTTCCACCGTTTCAGTTTCTATAAAAAGAAAATTTTCAGAATAATGTTAAACGTACGTTTTGTTGAGTATTAGGTACCTTACTTGGAAATAATTAGCAGTGTTTAATTATAACAATTAAATATTAGAAATATTATAGGTATCTACATAATCAGTACTTATAACTTTCTGGAAAGTTCATGGATTAAATTTTGCCAATCTGGATTTGCCAGCACAGTTTTTCAAAAATAGAGTGGGTATTGCACTGACCTGATAACAGTTGTAATGAGCTTTCGATTCTCGTCCCAATAACCCTCAAATTTGAGTGGTATGAACGAGTGAACTGTTCACCTGTTACAAAATTTCCATTCCCATTTTTGCGTAGGGCAGTACACGTGCCGACCCTCTCTTTATTGTCGATTTTACTTTTCGCCGTCGAAAGCCCCACACGCAGTCAAGTTAAATTACACTCGGGTTAATTAAAGTTCCCCGGTCGGTGTTTACGCGACTCGTGCATATCATTTATACACGAAACACCATCGGACGATAAAGTTTACGACGACCATCCCCAATCGAGGCAATTATAAAGTGCGAAATTTCGCCGGAGCTTTTTCAAAGCGCCCTCTAAATGACTTAGATGGGAAACGGAGCGGTTTTTTTTATATTTATTGCGTTTTCGCTCGTTTGCACACGGTGAATGCCAATTGAATTTGAAGCATTTTATGAAAGTTTTCCACTCGTTTTAATTGTCACTGAGGGGTTATTTTACCACGTGTAATGGATACGTTTTTACTTCAAATCGATAGACAGTGTAATCGATTAAGTAAAGCAGAAAAAAGAATAAGATATTGTGGAAATAATAAACTTACCTGCGTCATTAAATATTCTCGTTGATTTGAGAGTGTAACAGCGCCCGGTTAACTAATTTCCTTCGAAATTAATACTGCAATAAATCGTCGACATAGCTGTATATTTCGTACAAACCATCTTGGCGTCAGACAGTGCAGAAGGAGTTCGGGAAAGATATAAAAATGACAAAATACTGCAGAAAACCAGAACGAGGAAAATACAACAAGAATTTTCAAATATGATAAATGAGTTTAATTATTTTTAAGTGGAGATAAATCGAAATTCGTTCTTGTACTATTCAAGTTATAAATGATTTTCGATTCGGTTTTAAATGATGGGAAAATAAATTCTAATCTTAACTGGATTAGAAAGTTAGATTAACAAAAATAATTTTTCAAAATTTTGGTGGATGCGCCTAATCCTCCACCATTGTTTCTCAAACAAATTATTTAGATAAATTAGAAATTACTTGTACATTTTGTCGAACATTTGGCTCTTCTACTAATAGAAATAGGTCAACTTCAGAGCTTTAACAAATAGGTTAAAGTGGAATCTAAAAGTCCAATCTACCGGACGAGGTTAATTTTGGTTGACCCGGGTACTCAAAGTACATTAGTTATGCTGCATTTACTTAACGGGCCGGACGTTTCGGAAAACGCCGTATTTATCAAGCCAAATTAGGTTTTTTGGCTTAATTACGTTGGAAATCATTCTTGGGGAGGCTTGGCCTGAGGGAGTTCTTTTTGCTGAGGTTCGAGGCCAGTTTGTCTTTGTCACCGCTAATGAAACTTTCTTGCTTTTCAGAGGGGTTTCCAGTCCATTCGCTTGTGTAGCGGTGGGTTTATTTAATACAATATTTACATACAAAGAAATCAGTTCTTTTGCGTTGATTTCGTACGTAAATAAATAATTATCAGTGTACCCTACTACCTCTACGCCTATAATAAATTCAGTGTGGAGTAATAAGCGTGTTGTCGATGTGCAAACTCAGCTTGTAACGTAATATTAGTCAGTTATAGCAGGTAACCGCAACGCATAACCTCAGCAAAGGAGTTACCGATTGAACTCTAGGAGTGCTCCATAAAATTTAATCGAAATTTCACTATGTCATTACCCGCAGACTCCGGCGAACGAATTTTCGTGTAGTCACTTTAAAAGTTTCATACGCCTGTTCTAATTCCGGAAATTACGTTCCACTATAATTTCTAGTGGAAATTACTACTGTCATACTACACGGAATATCTATATCTCTTTTACATAATAAAAGGTACGGAAAATTGTGGATGCAATATGTTGCTTTTATTTTGGCGGAAGCGCATACTCCTCCACCATAAATTTAAATATTCGCCATTTTATTTTCGAACTTTTAACTTTTGCTTAAAATTTTGATAAATTCTAATTCAAATATTCATGCTTCAACTCCGTATTTGTAGAACGAATGCGCAATATTTAAAAATATGACCTATTAAACTTTAAAAATAATTTCGGAGGTTTGTGTGTTTTATTGATGAGTAAATATACGGAGTTACGACGGTTCCTCGACCTGTATACGTTTACGAATTTTAATTAAAGTTTCGGACTGAATTCGCTTACAAAAACAAATCGCTTGCAGAGAGCGTTTTGAAATATTTATCACGAGTGTAATTTCTTCGGATGGTTCACATGGAATTCGATTTTTGAATTATTAAAAACCCTTTTTCATTGCTTATTTGCTCGGAACCTATGAGATTTTTTAAATAATGCGATTTTTGGATAAAACATAGAATTTATTTTTTTAGAATTTATAAACCATAAATTTTGTAAATGTTTTTAATTATCTTGTTCTAAAACATCTTCAACTGAAGTGTAAAGATCTTGCTCGTTCATTTGGTGCTTTTTCTCCAACTCCACAATCGGCACGACTTTAACCAATTTCGGTATTTTCATTTTACCTATTTCTTCCAATACCTCGGCTTTGAAGTTCGGCGTGTGATTCTTAGTTCTCATTCTAATGAACACAGTCAGTTTACTTATAATTCCCAGATATTCTTCTTTAGTTGTTGCCCGTTCGCTGATCCTTCTTTCGATTTCTCCGCAGTCAAAGTCGATGTTGGTCCCCAATTTGAAAAGCTCCACGTTAAATCTCTTGATGACGCTCTCCCTCAACTTCTGAGTCCTCCAGCAGCTATCGCCGCTCATCCCGAAAAAACTTTTCTGACAAAAATTGTCATCAATGTCAATGAAATTTTTATGTCTCAAATCCTCCTTTGGAAGGTTATTAGCTCAATTAGACTTGAGGTTTTTTTTCAACCAATTTTTTATTGAATGTACGTCTTATGCGGGCGTACAGTTCGAAAAATTGTCTTCAAATACGCCGGGTTTCATTGTATTAGCTATATTGTATACTTTCAAGTCTTTGATAGACGGAGATGGCAGTAAATCTTCGAATAAAGCCGATTAACGTCTTCAAAATCTCCTTCGGTTCTCTAACCTTTATAAATTGGGTTTTGTAAAAAGGAGTGCGAACATCGAACGCCGTAGAATGCCTGATAACGGCCATATTGTCGACGTCCTACGTTTTATAAAAGAGTCTCGGTACATCCGTCTCAGCATTGACAAAGACTAGATTAAAGTTGGGTATTCCAGACCGGCTAGAAATTAGATTTCATAGCAATAAAGATTCCGATTTTTGACTCCTAATTGTAATGCTCAAATTCATTTAACTTCTAATGCCAACGAACAATTATTTATGTAGCATAAAATAATTGCTATAGCCTTGTTCGCGCTTTACATAAAATGCCGCCGGTTCGGAGCGTAGAGACAATTTTACGGCGACAGAACGGTTACCTAATTGATCAATTGCCGTTCTCGCTTCCTGCAAATGACGTCGAACTTGCCATCCTTTAGACGGAAAGTCTTAGAGAGGCGCTAACAAACACTCTAAAACACTCCAATTACTGCGCCAATGGAACGCATTTCGCTCAATTTACTCGGAAAATTATACGGTTCATCGGCTGTACATACAGGGTGTTTGATACCGATTAAATCTCATACCATGTAATGATAGTCCTTTGACTACGAGTAAAGTGAGATAAACCAATTGATCATGTTATAATGGTTAACTATCCTCCCTTCAATGTTTTATGTATTTGTTTTAAACGCGAAGTTTATTCACAGACCGAATCAGATTTGCGTGAAAAAACTTCAACCAACTGTTTGTATGTGAAAATAAAAGTCTTTCAAAAGAATCGTGCGAAATAAAAATAAAGTTTTCTTGTCAAAACTGGCACGTGTAATTGACTTCATGTCCGAAGTCGGGAAAAATTACGACTGTCGTGGTATTACAAAGAACTGACGACGCAGCACTGAGGGCGAAGACTGATTGCATTTCCTGTTTTGTGGCATTCGTAAGAAATTTGTACCGATCTTTTACAAAGAAATTATGCGGACATCGCTTACCTATCAGTATTCAACACAAATAACTAATATGTGTAAAATTAAAACGTGTTTAAAATAATAATACACAATGGACGAAGAGTTTAAATAAGGTAAGAAGAAGGTAAGTTTAAATGAGATAAGAAGATTTCAAATGGATAATTTTCAAATGTTAATCACACTGTAGTTGGTGAAAGAGAATTTCTTCGTAAATTACATAAATATACGCGTCTTATCCCTTCGATTTCAGGCTAGAAGGGGGAAACACGAAGCCATAATTTTAGGGGAATTTTTGTAATTTGAAACATTATTTATAAGGGTTAAGATGACGACCCATTGAAAGATGAAGAAGTGTAGCGTCTGGTAATAATCTGTTTTCCTTTGAGGTTTCAGTCCTTTAATATAAGGAAACTTCTGGAGAAATTATCTGCTTGAAAGCATCAGATAAGGGTAGTTTGGAAAAAGTTTGTTTGAATTATACGCAACATTTTTCCGTAATGTATTTGTAAAGGAATGCAATCTTTTAAAACGTCGAATGTACAAATTTAAGAGAAATATACAAAGACTTTCGGGATGGGTTACTCGCAACAATCAGAATTTATTTTTAGGCATTCTTTCGGGGAAAGCACAACTTCCACGTATAATGGAAAAATTACCAAAACGAAAGATTTTCGAGTGCGTATTGTTCCGCACCCTCTTCGAACAATTGCGCTTCGGGTCTCTCAGAACGCGAATCATTAGCAGTCTTTTCCGCGTTGAAAGTCGAGTCGGTCGAGGACCGGCTGAAGTGACGCGATGAAAAAATTCCCGGAATCTCTGTCTTCCGGCCGAGAAGCCACTTCGGCGCTTTCCGAGATCGGTGTCACTGGAATGGCAGTTGAAGTGATATCGTCACGGTTACGGTTCCCTGCATGCGAAGTCTAAGGGCCGACCTAATTTGAACTAAGCGAACGAAGAAAAAAAAAGATGAAGTGCCAATGAAAATGCCGAGAGCAGGAGTCCCGATCGAGAGCGAACCTTTTCTCTGGATATAAGAATCAGCACGAAGAGATGAACTATTCCGTGGGAAATGGAAACTACGATTTAAACGTCACTCTCTGTCAACCCCTTTTGGGCGAACGGTAGAGCGAAATTAGCTGATTATACAGAAATTACGTAGATATCCGCTTTAATATCAGAAATTGAGGCAATCGCTAATGCCATTGTTAATAACAGGTCAGCGCTTCGCGTCAGCAAAGGAAACAGATCGACAACATAATTTATGCACTTTAACATTGTCGCTTTAACCAGGTTCGCAGTAGGTAAATTGAAAACGACTAATTAAAACTCATTCGATATTAATGTTATTGTAATAGCTACTTGGAGTACAAAAAAATTCCCATTAGGACCGTTTTATAAGCGACGAAAGATTACAAATTTTCAAACGGAACAGACGAAGACCACCGAATTCATCAGCGTATTAACCGCAAACAAAGGAGTCAGCGTCCGCAGTCATATAAAACGGCTTAACTGTGAACTCGCCCCTTCGCGCTAATCCGAAATGGGACACATTATTGGGCTTCGCATAATTCTTGTTTAGCCTTCCTTTTTTTCCGAGCCGTCACTGTTCATAAAAATCATTTCGAGAGTATCTAATGCCCTTTAATTAAATATGCGAAGTGACGGGGAAAAAACGGAAATTTTCCATCAATGCCACCCCATTTTTTCAGGGATTGTATAAGAGGATTTATTGGTGTATTCAATTCCACTCTCTTTAGCGAGTCGAAGATGTTTTAATAAGGGCGATTTCGTGAATCTTTTTATTGTCAATTGGTCAATCACAATTAAATTAATATTGAAATGTAAAGGTATTATTGGATTAAGTCTCTTTTACGTTTCGAAATACAAATTAATGTTGTGTGAAAAATCACTGAAAATGTTAAATTATAACCAGTAAAACGTATAAAAAAAGCAAACACGCAATGTTTCAAAAAGAATGCGAGGTAAGATGTACATTCGTGTGTTATTTTATTACAATATAAAGAAACATCTGACCCTCATAATAGCAAAAGTGTTTCGTTTGTTATTACAATGGCAACTTTCCTGTTGTGTTCGATTATTTCCATCTTTATTGCGATTGCCTTCCTTCCTCGTATCGTTGGCTGTCTGGTTATATCGAGGATGCGGTATACTTCTGTCTTTTTCTGACGTGGGAAGCGACATTTGTGGGCATGTATATTCGTTATTTCTGTACCTGACCTGACCATCTTGTATGGTTGACTGGCAGAGCTCCGAACAACACCTGTTCGAGGCGTTTTGAAATTTTTTAGTTTCGTTAATGGACGTTAACAATTTTGCTTAAAGAAACTAAACAAACCGCGTAGGTAAACGAAATATTTTTTTTATTCAAAACAACGACATTCAGTTTCAATTATTGCGTGAACAATAGAACGCAAAATTCAACCCCCGAGTTTCCTAGAGTGAAAGGAGCCCGTAATAGCATCGTAGGTTTTTCTACCTTTTCGCCGTAGAAGTCGGAAAGAGTCACGTAAGTGGTCTATTGTTATGCAAATAATAAAAATATGGAAATAGTTCGGGCGTGGGTTTCGCGTTACTTTTACATGCTGTTTTCCATTTTTCTTTAAGCTCTCGCTCTCCATTTAAAATATGCAAAAACCCGGCTTTTAGGTCTTTTGGTGGCCTTACCCGAAGGATAATTTCGGATACCCGTCAGACCACGTTTACAAAATCTGCAACAAAAGCATTATTCCAAATGGACTGCACGCATAAGGTCTCACGGGAATAATACATACATATCTAATAAATTAATTCACCCAAATTGACAACTATTATTATTTCGTATAACAACACGCACCTGTTATTCCACAGGGTACAAACAGGTACACAAATTCTATTAATATGAACATTGGGAGAAATCTGCAGCAAGGAGCCTCGTTCCGTAGGTGTTCTAATAGCATGGAAGATAAGAAAAAGAAAATAGGATATATCCGAGACGTTGTTAATGATTTGCATTCAGATCGGCACGCCGAAACATGCTCGGCAGTTAGTAAAACTCCGGGAAATAAACGGAAACGTGATGAAGACACGTAGGACCTAAATGATGATACCGGCACCGAAAACTGCGTCACGCCGACTCGGAGCCGGTTTTAACAAGTCGGAAAAAAGGAATGAATTTCAAGCGTTTGTTTGTCGTACAAAAAGCCCCTATAGATGTTCCGAATAGGGATTATTTATTTAGACGACTAAATAAAAGGAATGTATTTCTATTAAATATGGCCGTATGCTAGAAGGTATCTTATAAGAAAACAAACTGAGAATAGGGAAATATCCAGTAGGTACTCTATCCATTCTTATCTTCTTCGTTATCACATGTGTTGTCTGAATATCAATTATTTAGATAATTTATTTAAACCCTTTATCTACTGATTATTGGTTACATAAGTCATAACTTTTAAAAATTATATTTTTTATTCAGTGTAGTTATATAGCTATTAAAAAACCAGCAATTAAGAGAAGAAAACGTGTTTAAAATTATTGACAGTGGAATGTAGATTGATTATTGAAATATCGACATTTTTAATGCTGATGACTAATTCCATTTAACAACTTAAATTCTACATAATTGCAGCTGCACGATTGAATTCTATAAAACATATTGAATTCATATCAGAATTTACAGCACTTGAAACGAATTATTAACTGCATCAACTTTTAATAGCTTACTTATTTAAAATGCTCGAACAATGCATTGTTTTCGTAGTTAAAATGCAGAGAAGTGGATTGTTTGTAAACCAATCCCAAACAACGATAGTTAAATTAGGCAGATACCTACCTATAGAAGAAATAATCAACTTTAGCAAACATAACTAAAATGCATACAGCACTGTTAAATTACATTTGTCGAGGTCGTTGGCTTATCTAAGTAAACACCGACCCACCTATGGATAGGCAGTATGCATCTCTCTTGGGCGCGATTATTTCTAATACGAGCAACAAAATGAGGAGTTCGGGCGCAATTCGCTGACTCCAAACAAAAATACTGATGCGTAAGACAGGCGTGTTGAATGGAGTCTCGATCTAAAAAAAACACTACCGACAGGAATAACTCAACTGGATAACGAGCTCTCGTGTTTGGTGTGTGGCAAGTGGTTCTCGTAAAAATTATCAGGTGATAATTGTATGCTCGTCGGGGAATTATTACAATTAAGCACGTCGCTTTGATTTGCGCATCTTTGAGTAGTCCCCAGTGTGAGGTAATCCCACGGTTTGTTACATGTGTTCATCGATTGCACGCAGATCTTATTATGATCATCAATTTAACGGAGTCTGTTCAAAATTTGTGGGAGAAGAAAGTAGTTTGTACAAGCAGAAGGTGTTTTCTATTTAGTCTTCTATTTTTGTCTATTAAATAATCCTATTTCTTGATATATTTTTGTTTTGGTTGGGCGTAACTTGTATTCTTTTTTTATTCTTGTAGCTTGTCAACTCTGCTATTAACTTAATGTATTGGGGTTTCTTAGTATTTTTGTAAAAGGTTTATTATTGGCAGTTGAATTAGTTTAAAACAGAACTTAGTAAAAATATTATACCGTTTAAAATTTGTAAAGGAAAAGAATTTTAGCTGTTTTGAAAAATGCGCACGAATCAAAAATTATTGAAACTTTCGGGAAACAAACTACAGGTGTAAAAATTAAAGTTTTATATCAAACACGAAGTCAGAGAGTGCCTAAATAAACTACATAGTTCCAAAATTTGTGTGAATTTCTAAATTTACGAGAAAAGTCGCTAGAACCGCATGAAAATTAGAAATATTTAGGTCATTTAAGCGCACGTTTAAACAAATAAAAACCATGATGTAATTCGATTCCCGAACAGAAAACCAACAAATCGACGACACCGGAGCCTAAAGTGGAACACCTACTTCCACAAAACCGAAAAACGTACACAAAACATCGCGAGAAAGGACTTTAAAAATCAATGCCCGTCCGCGCTCTCTTCCATCAATTTCTTTGTTTCGCACACAAACGCACGAAAAATATTAATTCTATAGACTCACCGTGGTCTCCTCGAGGATGCCGCTCAGCGTCAAAACGGCGCACATTAACGTCGGTAAGCGGCACATTTTCAAAAAAAAATTATCCACTAGTTTAAACGAGTAACACACACACTGTCCGATGTATTCGAACACCGCTAACTCGGTGCTTCTTGGGTGGATTCACGAATCACTACTGATCGCAGCTCCACCTACCGGTTGTGAAGGACGCACGCAAGCGCTGACTCAGTCGAGAGCCGTTTTGGGATTCGAATGGGACTGAATCGATCGCTGGTTGTGGTATAGTGTGGTTCAAAAATTACTTTCGAGGAATCGTCACAACGGCCAAGAAACTTACCTAATTTACTAAAACTCGTTCATTGATAAAAGTTTGATAGTTTGCTGGTGTAATCGCAATGGGATGTGAAAGTATAGATAAAGTTGTTAGGCATTGACAAAAATGGTAAAGATCAAGAAAGTGGTAATTGAAGCATGGTGGGAACTACTAATTCCATGACAGTTGCTGCATTGTGGGAATTTGTTGATCCTATTAGAAGTATTATAGTAATTTTGAATGGTCAAACTTTTCATCTTATTTCTGTGCTTGAAATAGTTAATAATGAGAAATCCCCTTAGAACTTTTTTGAGTGCATTAATTAAATTCTTGTACTTCATTCCTTCGTTCTTTCTCATTGGAACTTCCACGCTTTACGGTTTTTTAACACCACTGGTTGATTTCTTACTATCCAAATTACTCCTTTCAAAGAGATTCCCAGAGATTTTTCAACTGTTGACCTCGGGTCTTTATACGAGTTCTTGGCTTTCTCAATCTGATCTGGTGATTTTAATTTGATAAACTATGGAGGATGAAAAAATGGAAATAAAGGGATTTTATGTAAATGTGGTTTTTAAAATAACGGCTTGGAATAAGAAGAGGTAAATTCGCAATGATTAATTTTGACTTTTTTCACTTCTTCACTGCTGAAACGCGGCTCATTACCCAAACAACCCCGATATTTTCTAGTTAATTGAATTTCCACTGGCGCAAAATGTTTAAAATGCCACGTTTCGGCTTTGTTGCCTCGTTTTTCTTGTTTTGCTGTTATTCTATCATTATTTTAAAGCTTCTGGCAGTGCTCATCAATCTCGAACTGTTGCTCTCGTGCACCATCGCTATATAACGACCCTTTTTTAAGCTTTTCAGTAAATACCCCGAATCTGAAAAAAAATCGGAAAAAATTCGCTTTTAAAGCTTCGTATATGATCTCCTGTTCTATTATATTTCAACTAAACGCATAGGTTGGTATTTATGTCGTATTGTACATTTGTATTGTATAAAAGATGCTTCATTTGCCATTATTCCAAGCTGTTTTCTACCATTTTTCATTCTCTTTTCACGAAGCCAAAGTGCATATAAAGCTTGTCACTCCTACAATTTGTCTTCATAACCTATAGATACCGTGTAATAAATAGAAGAGACGAGATATTACTCGCAAATTACTAGAATATACAGGGCCCTATCAGCAATTTTGTAATTTTTTATGTCATTTTTCCTCGTCAAGTCACATGCATAGTAATAAAGACAACGTTATTAGGAAGCCGTCAGCACGGAAGTTTAAATTTCCATTAAAGTTCTTTCGACGTAAACAAAAGTTTCCCATTTTCCGATATGCCCCACAATCGATTCCGCCTCTATTTACAGCCGCCGGGACATTAAGAAATTTCAAAACTTAATTTGTTTCCCGGCGATGAGGCACGTGTTTCATTTTCCCGAGAAGCGATGTATAATGTATTCCAATTAAAAGTGTAATTCCTTTCCTGTAGCGAGTTCGAGAGTTTTCCGTTGTCTGCAGACTGCGTTACCGAAAACACCAATTGTTACAATTAACTTGATTTTCATGGAAAATGCAAGTGCTGGACTAAATTGTGTTCTAACGTGAGTTGCCAATTCCCGTTATCACTCTTACGATTGGGTATGTTTCGAGATGAGATTCAAGTATAGGAATCCTTTCAGGATCATTGTAAATTCCTTACATATTTTCTCTTTGTGCTTTCTTCAATTGAGTTAAATTTTTTATGCTCTACTCCGAATTTCGTATACATGCATGTGTTTTCCTATTTTCATGTAAAAATGATAAATGTATTAGGTAGCTAAATTTTCAAAATCCAAAATGCATAATTTTATCAACTTTATTTTACCAACATAAAAACTATAATTTTTGTTTTTGCAGATATTTGGCATTCTATGTTGTGGCCCTGGCGGTTTTTTGCGATAATTTGAATATTTTCATTGCACATAGCCAGGACTTTGCATAGTTTCGATATAATTTCGTTTGATACGGTTTTGGGGCGGAGAATTTAAAGTATTTAATATATTTACATTCTATGCTGAATTTGAAATTCCACTTTGCCGCGCCTGCAACCATATACATCGGTATAGTTGAAGGAAACAACTTTTGATGGATTTTAACTACGCCGGTTCAACCCGTTTCCTTCCACGATTTGCACCAAAAGCGCATGTTAACGTCAGTTTTCGCGATCGGATGCAATGTGGGAATAAAAAGCGATACAATTAAAAGGGAGCGCGGTCAATGAGTCACCGCCATCGCCGGTGACATGTCATTAAAGTGACTAAGTCCTTTCCGAATGGTCTGCCGAAAAAAGCAGGGAATGCCGAAGCAGGAGGGTCGGACCCGCCGACACGGCTGGATCAATGTAAGCATTCTTTCTTGACTGGGAACTTAACGGTCGCATATATCACCGGGAAGAGCGCTATCCGCAATTTTTCTTCAAGTATATATCCGACGTTTTCATTTTTCAGCGATTTTCCCGCGAGTGCATCAACTATGAAATATTCGCAGACACTTACTTCGCTCTTAAGCCGTTTCAGCGACGACTTCGCCGAGAGATTTTTTCATTCGAATTCCCATTAATTACCAACTCGAACTGTCCCGACATTTTCGCAATTTCATTTATTTCCTGTACAATTCAACTTCACCAATTCCAATTACTCCAATTAGCAGCGGCAATGTAATCGAATAAATTCATAAACGCACCGAGCAATTTCGCAGGATCTCTTCGGCCAAGACCGGCCCATTTCGAAGGGGCACAGTAGTCACATCGGCGAATCGATTGCCGGTCGCTTGGCAACGCTGCACACAAGGCGCCGACGTTGCGTTCGTCGCGACGCCTTGGTCCGTAGTACACCTAAGATTTCCCACGGCGTCAGTATCGGCGTTAACAATTTTCTCTGCCACAATCAACGAGAAATTGGTATTTATACCAGAATTTATTTTTTTTGTATAGTCTTCTAAAGTAGAGGCAACGTTGCAAGAAAGTATAATAAAAAATATAAAATTGATTTAAAAAACCTGTAAATATGATAATATGAAAAACCTGAAGATGGAACAGATGGGATATTAAAGGAAGGATAATTCAGGATTTTTATATTTTTTTTTCTAATAAAACGAAGGAAACTAGAATGTACGAATTTATTAGTGGTTAATCTAAACTAATTTTGCATAATTTAGTGAAACAAACATGCAATTGAATACTTAAAAAGTGAATATTCAAAGTAGGTAATTCCGTGGTGTTTTGATCAATAAACATTTCAACAACCTTCTCTCGATTCTTTAGGGAGGTCGAACAAACCGCAAACTTTGTTCGCCGGTATAGCTTTGTCTGTAACAAGATAATTGTATTATAAAAAAAACCAGTAAAAGATGGATCTGAAAAAAATAAAATTACCTCCTGCAGGCCTAATTGGGTTTCCGAGGCAATGGGGTACATAAAGCAGAGAGTGAAAAAGGATCAGGAAGGTGAAAGCTTACGTGGTTTGAGAAAATCGCGCTGGTTGAATGGTAGATAATAAACTAATAAAAGGTTTTTCAGTTCTCCCATGCGCGGCAAAAGTTTTTAAGCAAAGCTGCGAGTTTACGTCGTCAAAGGAGAAATCCTGGAATCGCCGACAATATCGCGCTTTACATACCGTTTTGCATAATTATATCCTTTGAATAAATTTACATTCGAATGAATAATTACGATGTCCTGCCCCACCTATATACTCGGACGGCAACGAATGCATGAATAGTGGATATTCCGTACAGCTTGCATCCCAAGGGAATTCATTTTCCGCGACGTTTCAGTAATGTCCGAAAATCTGCTATAAATGGATTTGCAGCGATGCTAAAACACCCGTTATACGTTTTCGAGTTAAAAATATGTTGCATCGTAAGGAACTCCATGCGAGCCTCATAAATAAAACAAGCTCAGATAAAACTAGAAACTTCCTTTTATCTAAAGTATGGCAGTTTCAACGAGACGCATTATACTTTCATTGTTACTTTACGTCGAAATCTCGAAAGTTCTTAGACCCCGAGATGTACGAACGGTTTCGCGTAAGCCCGATTCGCCAGAATACGAGTTAAATATTACTAAATTGGGGTTACTTAGCATTGTGCGATCGCCGAATTTCTAATAGGCACCTCATTCTCTCCTGTCAATATTGAATGAAAGACACGAACGATAGCGGCTCAAACTTATGACCTCTAATCCTCAATACCCGCGCTCGTTAAGTCTGTGTAACTTGCGCTCCTAACGGTGCAATCATGGAAGTAATGCAGCAAGTACAACGCTAATCACTTGGCTTGAGGTTAGTGCAAAATTAATGTGTCAGATATACCCGACTAAGAAGCACCTATACGTTTTAATATAAAACGTGTCTGTGTAATAGCTCCAATAAATAAGTTTCCGGATAGATCGAAAATTAAATTGGGTCAATCACCGTACTTATAAGAGAATTTGTCATAATATCTAGTTCGCTTTAAATTTTAGAACAATCAAATTTCTGGAATCTTTAATGAAGTTAACACAAAGACGAATGTGCATCTCATCTTTCACGTTCGGCATTCAATCAGACGGATGTAAACTGCATTTGGAGCAAACAGTGGGAACGTATATACACCGTTCCGGGAAAATTGAATCGCTCAATTCGACGCCGCAAATTTATGAGATTGAGTCGAGCCCAGTGAGCTCCGGCAACTTCTGAAACAGTCAAATAAGGAATATGCATGCAGTTCGATTTGATTGGCGGATTATATGCATGCAGCTGTAGTCGCTGAACACATATTTTCGCGGAAAGAAAATCATTGGGAATATTGTTTGATAGGCGCGTTCGTATGAAGGGTGAAATTTAGTTGCAACGAATCGAAATGGAGGTATTATCGCGAATTGGCGATGGCGCTTCAAAATCTCTCGAATTTATCGCGCGTCTCGATAATGCAACGCAAATGGAATTTGTAATTTTACTTAAAAGCCTTTCTATGCAGCAGCGGAGCTCTTTTAATCCTTTTCATCTTTTTAAACACCAACAATTATGCTCTATCACGATCGCTTAAGCTTGAAAAGTAGAGTTTATCTACGATTTTTTCAATGGCATGCGCCAAGAGTTTGCCTAATAAACCGAGCGATTTATCCGAAATCCAACGTTGTATATCCATCCGGAAATATTCGATTTTATGGCTGTTTTTTGGTGCATATAAAGCTCAAAATCGTACAATGCACGAACCCATGTTCAATGACGTTACGGTATGACAAGCTTTTCTTTTTTTATGGCGAGTTCGAAAGGTCGGCTCGAAGGTTGAATCGTGCCAGAAGAACTGGATACCCTTGGGTCGCTTCTACCGGGGGATTTGGAAAGTAAGAGGACTTCGATTGCCGTAATCAATAAGGGGGTATTTTTAGACCGTCTGTTTTCCATGAGATTTTCATTTAGGCTACTAAATGGTAGACAGAACTAACGAAAAGCCTTCTATTAAACCCTTTTCAAACATACAACAATTTTTTATTTCACATAATGAAGATCCGAAACTTCAATTTCAAGTATATAAATCTTATTAAACCAGCGCAGTATTCGAAGCTAGGTAAATTCGGGGAAGTATTCATCGGCTTAATTACGCGTTTAATTTGGAACACACGCGATCGCCGTCTTAATTCGATTCGCCCCCACCCCGCGAAACGGCGAATTTTCCGACTGCACCCCGTAAATTAAATAAAACGGAGTTATTAAGCACCCGTTCCCGTTTTGCAATATCCGAGCGGAAGTTTTATCCATATACATATAAATATATATACTGCTGGAATCGTTCAGAAAGCGTACCAATTATTAGAGTGCAGATATATAGGTCGGCGCTCTTCTGGACCAAATAGGGTTCTGCGCTTGCCCTGGTCATGTGATATTGAGCCGTGATAACGATTGGCTATCGTTTCTTAAAAGTTGGGTTATTGGGTGAATATCTTGTTTACGTTTTACGTTTACATGCTTCATACTTTCGCTTCCGCCATTGTGATTGATTGTTTATAGTTTTAAGAGTGTTTTCCTTAAATAAAAATCATTATTAAATAATGATTAAATCAATGGATTTATTTTTTTTAATTAAAATATATTAATATTATTAATTATTTGCTTCCAATTAACTAAATAACTTTTGTCAGTCAAATATTGTTTTTAGTTCCCTTATTTAAACATTCTCAAACAAATTCAACCCATTTTTAATAGCTTTTCATTCTTTTAAGCAGTATAATTTATGTTTAAATAATGGTGTTAATTTAAAATTATTGGCATTTGGCGTTAAAAACTGTACTTGCGCGCTTTTGACAAAAGTCCAGATGAGTGCAGAATGTTCATCGGACCTCTCTCTTTGATTGGGACGCGACTAGCTCACGGCTGGGGTAGGGAGCGAGCAGTATATATATTTATATGTATATGGTTTTATCCGACTCGACGGCTAAGCGTCTGGTGATTGCTCCAGAATTTGAAATAATATTAACTAGCGGGTAGCTAGAGAAAGGTCCGGAACGCTCCCAGCAAATTGAAATCACGATAAATGTCGAATGTATAGCCTTTGATTTCGCTAAACAGGAAACTTCTTTCTTCATTCATCACTGATTAATTTGAAACTCATTATTATTAGAGTATATTTTAGATTCGTACTATAATGAAATAGTTGTAACATAGGTACTCGAAATGATAGATTAATTTGATATATTATAGTTTAAAAATAGATGATATAATAGTAGATATAGGATAAACAGTTGGATACTTGAAAGATAAAAATACAATATTATAAAAGTCGGAATTGTAATATATTTGTCAAATATAAATTAATTTTGTAGCTTTCTATAAAAAGAATCTCGTTATGTTCGACGATTTTTTCTCGACGAAAATTCATTTCGATTAAATATTCATATTTCGATAAACGTTTGGTAATGCCTACTTTTGAATAAGGAATACACGGAATGCGATTTTGATCGGCAAGGGAGCATTTAAACAGTCTTACAATAAAGCTTTATTTCCTTTTTAGAGGGAATTTCGGAATCTAAAATGCAAAATTACTAACGTTCAAAGGCGGAATAGCAGTAATCCTTTTTGGGTTCTATAGAAAATCGAATAGGGGTCATAAATAAAGCTGATAGAAGGAAAAAAGACAATTCTATTCTTTGTTCAGAATTTATGCCGTGAGAAATATAATACGATTTAAGAGCCAATCGGTTATTTTATGTTATTTATGAAATAAAATTCAAAGTTAGTCACCAAAGTATTACAGCTACAAGAAAACTTAATTAGTTAGGAAATAAAGAAGAATTCAAATTATACTCATCTGTGTATAAAACATTGATTGCTCAAGTATAATTTTAGAACATGCTTGAAAATATTGACTAATAATGGAGTTCTGTAATCAAAACCATACTGTTTTAATGTTAAAAAACCAATTATTTCAGGATTGGCATCCTAAAAATCGCTTATAAACCCGCTTTTTTTACTCCCGGACAATAAAACAGTACGAACAAAGAAACAACCGGTCATTTTTGCGCTATTCACATATTCATATTGAGTAGCTAATGATTTAATCGATAAATACGAATCCCATTGTTCCAGCGTTTTTTAATTACTCAAGCATCAAACGGTTTAATCCCAAAACGAACGGTCACATTAGCCATTATTTTCCCTTCCACACGTCCTGCAACGGCTCACCAGCATTTCAATTACAAATTAAATACTTTTTCCTGTCTAAACATCAATTTTTCCCAGTACACGCCGAGTACTTACCGATGTATCTAGGGTAATCCAACTTCAAATTCTGCATAACGTGCACGAACTCCTCGAAGCTCTTCGTCAGCCTCGGATTGAGGCGCTTTTCCTCTTCCACCGAAGTGGACGTTTGCCCGCTATAATCGTGAGCCGGGTACAAAATCGTCGAGTCCGGCAAGGTGAATATCTTCTCGTGGACGCTGCGGTAGAGCGCCGCAGGATCGCCCTCTTGGAAATCCGTCCTGCCGCAGCCGCGGATCAACAGAGCGTCTCCCGTGAATGCGATTCCCTGCAAAACGAGCCACTCTTTATAATAATAATAAAGGAAAATAATCCGAAAAATCAAAATTTTAATCCGCTCTTCCTATCGCCGCTCGTAAAATCGAACTACAAAACCGTCGCAGGAATATAAAGTACCCACTACAGTTTTTACGACTAGCGATAAAGTTCAATCCGGGGAACGACAGTTTCCACTAGTCGATGATAACCACTCCGACAGCTGAAAGTTGTAGGTATCTGACGGTAATGGTTCGCAAATAAAGCGGACTAGAAACTTCGGAGTTTATACCCTGCTAATAGTATTCAATAAGTTTCAAATTGTATGAATATTACATCAGAACTGGAATAAATTAAGTAATACTTTACAACTTTTTTTTATTCGAATCGAGCAGTACATTTGCTCGTAAAGATGCAAGACCTAATTAAATACCGCGAGCTCGACTTTATAAAATGCTCAAATTTAATCAATAGTTGTTTTTATTTCACTCATCCACTCGAGTGGCAGTATCCGTTTCTCGTAGGAAAAATTTATGTTCTTCCGTCCAGTGAGAGATTGATAACTCCATCTGCTCCTGCTAATTGCGTTCGCTGTTTACCCTCGTAAGGATGTACGAGCTCATCGGGTCCCCCGCGCCCTCTGTTACCGGAAATCCCCCCCGTAAAGAAGACGTTCGCTTCTGGTCCGAGAGCGTTCAGCAGGACGGAACCAGGATGTCTCTTTAAGTTCTGCGTACGCGATTATGTATAAACTACGTTAAATGCGGGTCGAGGTCAATTTAGTGATGCTCGCTTAATTACGAGCCGTGTATTTAAGGGTGAAACGGCCGGTTGGTTTAGTATGCAGCGAAATACAAGTGGAGGAAACTGACATTATTTCGTTTAATTAATAGAGTGCCGGAGAGGAATTTTGCATGCCTTATTATATGGTTATTAATATATCTACTAGGTTTCTTCATAATGGTTACACAGGGTGTCCTGCGTGTCCATACAGCTACTCTGTGTCGGTTCTTATACCGGACACCCTGTATATCATATTTTGCTTTAGGTCACCCTGTAGATGCATGAATTTCTTCTCCTTGTTTCCAAATAATCAATAAATCGATAATGTATAGGTAAAAAATTACCATTTCGTTCTATTTTTTCGTCAGCAAGGATTATCGAAATTCGGCCGAAAATATACGCACAGCGAAATTGATTTTAGCTGTTAACAGTGTGATATTGAACGATATTTTAAGCCGTAAATGCCGGGAAGTTCCGATTCTAGCCATTTACAAAATTTGCTTTATACATATATTGTAAAATTAAATGGATTTAATACGAGCTGTCGTCCGCACGCAGGAATCGAAAATTTTAGGCATCTCCAAAGTTTAATTAAATTTAATTTTAATTGCGAGGAATAAACGATTGTTATAACGTACACCGTTCGGTAAACTTTCGCCGAACAGTTGTTAGATAAAACGATAGAATCGCATAATCGTTATTCTCGATTCGTCCCATAAAAGCGGAATTAAGAACGAACGTTAATCTCGAAATCGAAACTTATGTGTTTCCATCCGAGTTCTTCACCTTAAAAAAGCGGAAATCTTTTCCCAGATCGAAAGAAAATATCATTAAGAGCTTTACACACGAAAAAAAGGTTCTCTCTTAATGGATATTTCCCTCTGCATATCATCGCTTTAACCTACTGATCACGATTCTCAACATTTTCTACGTTGAACCTTAATTAGAAGCCTTCATTATTAATCACCTATACCATTTATTATTTTAATGGAAGCAATTATCGCTTGTTTATGCAACGCTATTTTCGAATCAAAGTTTTCATTGCAAATGAGTTTCGTCGCATCAAAATCGGAATCGCGATAAATTCGCCAGAGCACTCCTTACCTGTTCCTCGCTGTAAAACGAACAACAGCCATTCGTGTGTCCGGGAGTGTTGAGAACTTTCAGTTTATGATCCCCGAATGCAATAAAATCGCCCTCGTCAATGTATACGTCGGCCTGCGCTCCGCTGTTCCTCGAAATGACGCTTTTACATCCCGGCGACAAACATTTCAAGTATCCTGATCCAGTTATATGATCGGCGTGCATATGGGTATTCACTGAAATATACGAGCAACGATATGTATTTTGCCGGATATTTTCGACTCTACTGCTGGGATAATTCGAGTTCGATCGGACCAAAAAGGAAAATCCGAATTATTTGTAGATAAATTCAAATAAATTTAACCAAATCGAACTAAATTGAAACTATTAAACTCATTAACACCCCTATTTCGATTTTTGTGTGAACAGAGCGACAGGAATAACTGTGGACGTGACATGCGCAACTAGATTACGCATTGTACAATAACTCAAGCCAATGACAGTACTCGTTTAGTAGTAAACATTAGTTGTTTGGTGTATGTTTAGAGGGTGTCTCAATAACTAAATGAATGTTGGTGTTTGAGACACTCTCTATACAGCTCTGTAAAGCTTAAAAATAAGTGCAAACAAAACGATTAGATTAAGAGAACACCCCTATTTCGTATGTACAGAGCTATAGGAATAACTGTAAACGTGACATGCGCAACTAGTTTACGCATTATACAATGACTCTAGCCAATGACAGTACTCGATTAGTAATCAAACATTGTTTGGTGTTTGAGACACTATGTATGGTTCTGTAAAGCTTAAAAATAACAGTGCAAATAAAACGATTAGATTAAGAGAATAATGACAAATACAACAAATAAATGCAATCATTGGAATAACCTGTTCGCCCGAATTACAAATCTATTTTTAGATAATCAATTGCGCAATATTTGGATGTACAAAATTACACAACATAATAAAATATAATATTGTAAAATACCAGGAATTATACCAGGTATTTTCTGCTACTTTTAATACTGATATAAAGGTGTTAAGGCGATAAATCACCCCTTATATCTCGCGCCCTCTTTGCATGTACACATTCGCGACCACTTACCGGCGTAAATCAAATTCAAATTCAAATCTTTCGTCAATTGGAGGTCCCGTTTCGCCTGTTCCAGCACTGGATCGATAAGTATGCACTCTCTCTTGCCGGCATCGCCCAGTAAGTAAGTGTAAGTGCAACTGTCACTGTCAAACAGCTGGAAATTAACTGTTAGTAGCCAAAAACGCATATGAAAATAGAGCGTTTTCTTACCTGCTTGAAAATAAAAGTTTTTTCTATGCCTTCGCTCATGTTTCGTTTCGACTGATGTGCGGTGCGTAGCAGCCTTGAGAATAATGTTGTCACAGTTTTAGGAATCATTTTATCGACTTCCCAGTTCAAGTTTCGAGAGCCCTAATTATCTACAAATCGATGCTTAATTCACCTAACGACTAATGATCATGATTCACGAATATAATTTATATAGTTTGAGATATCTAATTTGTTTGTCACATTGCAAACGCGATAAGTGCAACCATCTTGCGTCAGGATATTACATTGCAAAATTCGAGATACAAGGTTCGAATACGTATATGAAAATCTCGGTTTCTTAAAAACCAATCGCTTTTAATAATAGAATGAATCAATATTAATAAAAAAACCTTGAACGCATCATGTCCTTTCTCATAAAAATATCAGTTGAGCCTACTAGCTCCATCTCATTTTGCTAATGTAATTAAAACGAAATTTAGTAATTTTTAATGTCTATTGGCAGCACTTATTTACTGTTTCTCTTTGGAGGTTAGAGGCTACAAAATATTACAACTTGACAAACTTGCACGTTGTTTTAGTTTTATAAATAAAAATGGTAAATTATTATTATATTATTCTGTTTAGACTAATGAAGCATTACTGTATTTCAGCCGAAAATTAAACAAATAGAGAAATTCAAACATCCCAACAGCAGAAAAACCAAGTCGATAGCCAAACAAATACTGAAGTATGTTGAATACAACAAGAAAATGTTATTATTTACATAATTTTTGATTTTTTAGGGAAAAAACTCGAGAAAAAAAGAAACTATGTACAAATATAAAAACGAATTTACAGGGAGAGAAGTTCTTGTGGTTTAGAGACAATTGTTGTCTGGAATGGAAAGAATGCACGGCCAGCCATTTAGAAAATTTAATTGAGAAATATTTGTCACGTTTTGATGAAGAACTAGAGCAAATTAAATTAAAACATTCGATAGGAAACCGGAAAAACAGGCAGCACGCCAGTAGAGAAGATATTATTAAGATGACTCTAACACGAGAACTCGAAGATTTTCAAAGTTGCGGAATTGGTAATTAGAACAAATTTGTCTTAGATTATTGATTTACTTTATACACGCCCGTTTATTTGTAGAATTACCAAATTTATTAGATCCGGCACAATTTAAGAAACTTAGAGAGTGGAATGGCGAACTCAGGTTTTTACAAAACTTCAAACTTAAAAAGTTCAATAAAACTTTTTTTGAAGAAGCACGTAAAAAGGCAAATCTAGTACAACCCAAAATTAAATCTAATGTTACAAGTATAATGGAAACATCATAGTATTTATTACAACTTTCAATAAACAAATCGAAAATCTATTTATTTTAATTCAGCAATTCCTGCAACCCTTCATGTTAATGATATGTAATAAAATTAACAAATAGAATGAATAAATAGTACAAACCAAAAATATAACACAATATATGAGAAGTAAATGAGAAAACAAAAAACTAATCATAGACAAATACCAAAACGAATGTAATGTACGAAACTAATGTTTATATTAAAAATGTCATCTGTCAATTTTCTTCTCTTTTATTTAAACTATTAATTATTGGCACGGAACAAATATTCTGTTCCGTGTTTATCTGTCAATTTTCGGGATGAATTTAAATATTTGGGTTTTTAAAAAATTTATTTTTTTATTAAATCCTAAATAAGACAATATTTACAACAAAATCATTATAATTATTTTATGTTTAATACACTAATATTTATAACACTGTTAGCTCTCTACTGACTAGCGCAGTTGTCACATGACTTATTTAATCCAATAGGAAATTGTTTAAACAAAAAATTCGTTATTTTTTCGATATTTTGCCGGCTTTTTTAGCGTTGTCGCGTCGCGTCGTTTCGTAAGCGTTGTTTTAGGAGTGCCTTTTGTCGTGTTAGAGGTAACAAAAGTATTATATAATAATGGAATCACCCCGGAAACGCGCAAGAACACATAAAAATCCATCTACTCCCGGCTCTTGTCAATCCTTACAACCGGCTAATTTATACAGGTCTTATGAAAATTCAGAATATTCCTCATCTACTTCCAGAAGTAAAAGCGACGAAAGTGATATTTCTTCTGAATATACCAGTAAGAACTTTTTTTTCTAATGTAGATAATACGTACACTGATATGTGTAGATAATGAGATAATGTACTAAATGCTAGATAATCTAGAGAGAGCTAGAGAATCCAGGGTGCTGGAGAACCTAGAGCACTATAGAATGTATACTGTTAGAGAATAAAGAGAGTGCTAGAGAATCTGTAGGTAATGCTAGATATAATATAGGAGCCTATACAGAACCTAGAGCACTAGAGAATGTATACAGGGTGTCCCACGACAAGTTAAAACTATCTGCATGTAGGAAACTACTAAACCGATTAAAATAATACTTGGTATGTAAATGTTATGCAATAAGACGAACCTCTTAAAAATATTTTGACAGTCCGGAAATACCGGAAGTTGGCTACAACTTTGTTATTTTAAATGGAGCACCCTGTATATTAATATATTTTCGAAATCTACGTAAAATTTTAAGGTACTTTTGTCTAGAACACTTCAAAAATGCATACTTTTTATTAATTTTATTAATAAAATTTTATTTTACTTAATAAAATAATCAATTTTAGATTATACACAAGATTATGAAACCTTCTTTGAATCCGTAAGAAGAGTTAATGCGAAAGGGGGTATTTGGAAGCTTTACAAGCCAGTCGATGAAGATTCGTTGTATCATGATATATTAAAACAGCCCCAATATACAAAAGTATGTATTAGTCATATGCAATTAATTTAAAATAATGTTTGCCGTCTTCAAAAGTAACACTTTGTGTCCATTTCAGCAAATTGCAATAGATCTGCTCAATAACTGGGAAAATGATCCACTAAATGTAATCCAAAGCCTTGTCCAATTGTTCGTTAACTTGTGTGGTTTCAAAGAGTTTGTAGCACCAGAAATATATCATATAAAAAACTTCCAAGCGTATGCTGAGGCAATTATGAATGATTTATGTGAAGACGAGTCTAGCGATATAATAATGGTAACAATATTTTTTTGGTTTTTGCGTGTATTAAAATACATATTTTTTAGTGTGGTCGGTGTCTTTTCAACGAAAAATATGAAGGGACTACGCAAATACTGCGCATGGGCGTTTACAGTTTCATATCCAACTTCATTATTATTGCTTTTAAAAAAGGCATATTATCTCCTGATAACGACCGCTTGACCAAATGCTTACAGATAATTTTGAAAGTAATGTCAAAACAACGACTGAGACAAATCATGCATACTGGAATCATTATCAGTAAGTGGCTATAAACAGATAAGTGCAAAGTTGTATGCAATACAGTCTATGGGTGCAACAAAGACAACTTCCATTAGTCTCATGTAAAGGAAAAAGAAAGAGTGATATTGTGGGCTTGCTACTTTTTCGCTCTAACCACTGGTTTTTTAATGATATCTTTGTTCAACTCTTAGAATTGGCCATATTGCAAACAAATTTGCACTTATCTGTATATTGTTAATTGCGAGAGGCTATTTCTTATAAGAAACGACTTAAGGCAACTAAAACTTTGCTTAAATGATATGAAAATTTAAGTTTTAACATTAATTTTTATTTTTAAGGTAACAAAATTTTGTCTTCTTTGATAATGACCTATAATTTAATTAGTAACGAATTTAAATTCAGTCCAAGTGATAGTAATACTGAGCAAGCTCTGTCCGAAAATCGAAATTTTTTGATGTTGCTCATCAATGGTTATTACCTGAATTTCAGAAATATTTACTAGTAAGTTCTGCCTTTGAAAATGTGTAGATCTCTTTTTTTGAATTCTTTCCTTTTTAGCTCCAAATTCGTCCAGTACGCTACAAAATTGAATCAACTAAAAGTAGAATGCATTAGAGAATGCAAGTTTTGGATAAAAGCCCATCCAAGAATTTTTATATCTAATTGGGAAATCCTCAAAATTATAAATTTCTATATACACGATGCAGTAAGTTGTTTTTTTTTCGAAAATATCGTTTTTCTTTATAATAATTTTTATAATTTTAGTGCAAGGACGTTAGATTGGCTGCTCTGCATACTCTAGATGAAGTTTTTAAATGCCCTGAAGCTTTACAACACATTACAATTGAATATATGAAAGATTTAATAAAAATAATAAAGGGTAGATTTGATGACGTCGACAGACAAGTTTCCATAAAAGCCTTGGGAGTTATTCAAACCATTGTTCTCTGGTATGTTCAAAAACAATTTTGGCTTTGAATATCTTGTTTATAATCATACATATCACCTACTCCTTGTGCCCTTTGGGTTTTACGAATATTTCTACCTAATTATTTTTCTCAGTCATCACGAATTAATATCTCAAGAAGTCGTCGATGCATTCAGTAAATTAATATTCTGCCATTCTGCCCCCAATGGAATTGAAGCCGCTAAATTGTACACGGCATATTTAAAAGTCTCTTTCAATTCCACCTCCGCCTCTACTCGCATGTCGGAAGATAACTATTTATTAATCAACATTGTCAACCTTTATCGAAAACAGGTAGTTTACCACCCATTAATTAACCAAGGGCATATACTGCTTTAGTTAGGGATGATTTCATTATTAATTTGTTAATTATTTTTAGCAACAAGCCAATGCGAAAGAATATTTAATCGAAAGCTTCCTGCGAGGCTGCGATGACCTGTTAAACTGGGATTCATTTTACAATTTATTCTACAAGATAAGAGATGAAGATAAAACAAACATTTTAGCGCTTTCCGAAATTTTCGCGGAGTTTATTTCCCAGTTTTTAACAGGAAAAACCAGCGTTATGAGAATTCGCTCGGAAATATGTAATAAATTTATTCGTTTATCATGAATTAACTCACCTAAAGTTCGTTACTGTTTCTATCAGATCCTCCGGCCGAGCAAAATATCCATAAAAAAATCGTCAATTTATTCGAGAATTTCCGTGACTTGATCCAGTACCACGAAACCCCCAAGATTTCCTCCGAGTTGTTCAGGGTCGTTTTGCTCGTTGATTACGATTGCCCAGACACTGACAACTATTCTCTAATGGTAAGTTAAGATATGTCGATTGCAAGGAGATAAAAATGCATTTATCACATCTAGGAATTGGAGAGGATGTTTCACGCAGCTTTCCATAGCTTCAAGACGTGTCGCGAGCCGGAGATGATGTATTTAAACAGGGCAACGGGGGTTATGGCTGTATTGAAATCGTTAGATGGGGTAAAAAGGTGCGCCGATCCGATTCTTCCTAATCTGATCGAGGAGACTGTCGCTTCTGCTAAATCGTATTTAATAAATCCGGTAAGTTTGCGGTTTTCTTACTAGTATGTACCTAATAATTTATTAACAATATACCTTCCAATAGGTGGTGGAAGATAGTTTCTTGCTATTGAAATTAGCCGCACTATTAAAACATTTCGATTTGACCAATTATTTTGCCGTTCAGGAGTTGGTTGTACCGTTCGAAAATTTATTCGATTTGCATGTAAGTAGAGCTGCAATATTTTTGTTATGATGTACCTACACAGTGATAACAAAAGTACCCGGAAAATTGGAATAAAATGCATTTTTATAGGCCCTTTTTAGTATGGTTTTTGGCTCTTTCTGCAAATTTTATTATGGATTCAAAACGGGATCCCCGAAGTGGCTATTTTAGTTTGGGGAATTATTATATTTGGGGGATTAGCATGATGATTTTCGAATTAAATTTCCTTTTCTCGCCGTTATCATTGGTTGAAGAGATCGAAATCGAAACCCAGAACAATGCAAGTCTTTAGCGATCTCCCGACTATCTTTAAAAGTTTTGCACCATTGGTAAATATGGGTTTTCGATAAAACAAAGTCACCTTAGGCATTTGCATCGAACCGGCCCACGGATTATTTTTTACAACCAAACTGATTGAGAAATTCTAATTTTTTGCATGCTAATTAAGAACACTGTTAACTACATACAGAAACTTGAAATAGTTAAAAATATTAAGAGCGGGCAGGTTATTTAAATCATAATTTCCGGGTACTTTTTTGTCAGAAGGTATTGATGATATGAATATCCAATTCGTTTTTAGTCAATTGTGGGATTGACCAATAGTTGTGCCGAGTATTTGAAATGGCAATTGAAATCTGCTGAATCGATTACGCGCTCTGCAGACGAAGCGCAAGCAATAAGTAGCTTGAGATTTAACTGTGAATTGGTGTTGGACGAGCTGTTTCGGTTATTAAAAGACGACCATCTCCTAACTGCTATTAAATCTGAAGTAAGAAATAGCGTTAAATTGCATTCGACTATTCATAAATTTTTACTATTTCCAGAAACTAATCATTTTATTTAAATTGCGTTGCATTTATCGTTTAATATTTTATAGGTTTTCTTTATTATATGTAACTTTTTCACGTCATTTAACGCCGAATTAAATCTAATTGGAACTATTAGGAAAAAATTGTTCCTTATATTGAAATTGGATATCACAAAAGATAAAAGTAAGCAAGCGATATTATGGTATTACGTCGAAAAAAATGTGGTATTTAACTTGGATAGTAAGTCACAATCTCAAAAATACCTTAAAAAATGCGTTTTTTAATTAATAAAAAAAATTTGTAGTGCCTATTGAAGAGAGGAAGAAGTATTTAAAAAGTTACGTTCGTTTGATTGAAAAAAAGATTCTATCTTCAGAATGTTTGATAAACGTCTTGAAACTTTATTCCACAGTAAGTACAACAATATAAAGTTCGAAGTTGTAACCGATCGACCAAATTAAATTTTTTAGCATTCCGAAGAATACGGTGAAATTGTAGAGTGGATCTTGTCATCATTTATTGAAGCAGATTCAAAAAATCATAGAATCGGTAAAACTCAGGACAACAATAGTGTCTTACTTGTTTTACTTACGTTGTTCGAAACTTACGAGAATATTTTAAACGTGAACGGTGCAGTAGACTTTGATAGTGAAGAAGGAAATAACTTAAAAGTAAGTTCATTTTCTCTTTATACGTTAATAAAACATGTTATTCATACAATCTTTCAGGCGCTCTCTCAAGAATTCGCATTCTACAAACCATTATTCCAAAAACGAGAAACAATTATTGACCAATTTCTCGACATGGTTTTTTTTAAAAACGATTTGCGATTGCTGCCTGTGATTTATTTACTCGAGCCATTCTTTAAGAATATAAAAGAGGAGAACACTAGAAATTTGTAAGTATATAGAATTCTTTTATATTTGTTTAATAATCTATTCGTTATTAGGTTTAATAAATTTGGAGACTTCATGAAACCGTACAGTAAAGTAGACTGTATTGTGTGGCTTAAGAAACTTTTGAAAAGTAAATAAACTTAAGAAATAATTGTTCGCTAGTATTTTAGATTTGTTCGTTCTGCTTAAATTTAAATCCTTAATTTTGTTTCGTATGTATTTGTTCGAAATTCGTTTATTAAATCTTTTTCAAAATTCGTGTTTAATTACATTAATATATCAATATTCCAAAATAATCAGAAAACAAGATTATTCGTTTAATTAAAAATGGTACTTGTTTATATTTACATCTTTTAAACAATCCTTCGGAACAAATTTACATATTTAAAATAAATAATGAAATAAGAAAACAGTACATTTGATCCTAGTTAAAAAATATTTACAGAAATTGAGAACATTAGATATATATGTTTAAATACAAACCGATGAAAAACTTGTACTCATATAATTTACACCATAAAATAAAGATTCCAATTTTTAAAATACGAGAAATTGCATAATACTAAAATTTAAAAATATAAATATATGCATATACATATCTCTCATTTAAGAATAATCTAATTAATTATTAAAGAATAGAGAATATTTCGAAAATAGAGCGCGTCCGATTTTTAATAACAGATTTTTTTTGAAAAATTCGTGCGTATAACACTATTAAATTTTAAGTACATAATATATCTGCAATTTGTCAGAATTTATCAGCATAAGGCAATTTTAATACATATAAAGTGTTTGTAATGGTAATTCTGGTAACTGAGTAGTATGGCATTTTTATATAACAATTTTAAAAGATCAATTTCATTTTTTCCTTTTCAATCTAATTTAAACTTTCCATGAAAAAATCGGGAACGTACTATCTAGGAAATTTACAAAACAGGCCTACATCTTACAACGTGACTATTATATCTTATTTTATAAATGTTCATTCATTTAATAAACAGACCTGTAAATTTTACTTTATAATCCATCAACACCTTATTTACAATATAATAACCCTCTCAAAAATTCGAGCTTCTGTGCGGAAAAAAGAAAACTATACTCAGGTCTATTCAACATTTATCAAATCCATACGCTCGTAAACGCTAGTTTAACTAAAGTCCAACAAATACGCGAGTAGTTAACAAACGGAACTACGATGTCAATCTGTAACTTAAATCCATGCCCATGCACTCGTAAAAGGCCGGGGGTTTTTCCACAGAGGTGTCTTCAGTCGATGGGGGTTTGTCGCACTCTTCCAAATATTTTATCACTTTTTCAGTTGTTCTAATAGCACAAACACTCGAAGCTTCGGTCTAAAAAATGAGAAAAAAATCATAATTATTATATCAGTAATACTCAAACCTGAACTAAATTTCGTATACATAAATGAATAGATTATGAATGTATATACTAAGAGCAATAATCGATAGTTAGGAAAGATCAAATTGAACGATTTTAAAGGGTTCATTAGGGATGATGATCCCTTATAATGTTAATTGAAAGAAAATTGTTATTTAAAACCTAATAAGAAAATCCGTGAAACTTACCGATGCTGTCAAATTCATAAAATTGAAGAATTTTTTGAGTAATTCCACCATATCCGCGAAATTATTTCCTTTGAGGAACTGTCTAACAAATGTCTGCCACTCCGGATGGTTCATAATAAGAAATCCGATCAACATAACAATGTACGAGGCGAGGAATGTGAATTCCATGTGTGTACCAGCTTTTTGTAATACTAAAATAAAAATTTTACGCATTAATATGAGATTGCAGTTACGTTATTTTCATCAACTTATACTTACATTTCGCGACAGTTTCTTCGATAAATTCTTCCGTAGATTTTGGAGCAGGTGCATCTTCACCGTCTTTCTCGCCGTCCAAAATGGCGTTGGTTTTGTTCTCCGCTACCTTTGCGCAGGTTTCCCAATGGTAAAATTGGGCTATTAAGGCTTCTACTGCGCTTTCTTCTCCTAAATAAATAGTTTTTTACTGCCCGTTTCTAAATTAACACTCTTTCAAAAACACTTACGCGAATATATACTTTCCAATTTCGAAGGCGCTTTAGCCGCCATGAGGAGCTTCTTATTCGAATCTTGATCTTGAATGAGATTTATTAACAACATCAATACCTAAAAAATACACCGATTGTAGTAACTCAATTGACCTAATAGTTTTCTGAAAACTTACAAGTACACCCAGTTCGAATTTCTTTTGATCAGGAATGTAGTTGGGCACTTGCAGCAACAAATGGAGACTGGTCTCTATTATACCCGGCCTGGTTCCAATCAATTGACTACCCATAGCTGTAAATATTAATCATACATGAAATAGTAACAATCACAATTAAATTTTGCCGTTTTATACTTACATTGATTATTAAAATGATGCGTTAAATTAATAAGAACTTTCAAAGTAATTAAAAGTGCCTCCCTAATTATCGTGCCTGTTGAAGTTTTATCCGTAATATCGGTGATTGGATATAGCGGTATTTCACCGTCGCAAAGTTTGTAAAGATTAACAAGAGTGTCCAAAATGATACCTTCGTTATATTTAAGAATGTAATTTTGGTTCTCTTCGTTATTAACGGTTACCTAAAAAATGTATTATAACAGTAATTTTTACGTAGAATTGCATCGATAAACTCACGTTTTCTAACACCCTCAAGCATCTGTCGACTTTCTTTAATTTGTCTAGTAAATTATCAGTCCAAGTGACCACGTAATCCGAAACTTGTCGACAACATTCGTGAATTGTCTTCATGATATGTTCCAGACCACCGAGTTCTCTGAGTTCCTCTTTGAACCACTCACCTGCCCTTTTCGATGTCAAACTTAACAATGTTTCCATCGCCAGTTGACCAACCTACGGTCAAATTTCTACTTGTAAAACAACGTCCAGAAAATTAAAGTTTATATTAACAATAACGTACCGTTATGGATTCCAAATTAAGATGCATAGCGTGACCCTGACTCTGAATCTCGGCGCAAATTTCCCTAACTTTCTGTTTGTTTTTCTCCAATTGCGCGGTACTAAGACCGCAGTCGTCTAATGCTTGTTGATAGCTGACATCGGATTCCAATAGATTCAACATAAGTTCTAAACAATCTCTATCCAAATCCATGTTAAGTCTATCTTGGCTCAGGACGAACATTACGGTCGCCGTACACAAACCTAGACTCTAAAATAACCAACCGATTAAATCGTAACTTATACACAGTGAGTAAATAAACAACACCTTTCAGTGTAATTTACTAAACTTACTATTAACATATGTAATGACAACTTACTTGATTTTTTGGAGCATCATGTAAGGCTTTGAAGAATTTAACTACAGTTCCGTGAGCTCTAACGTGCATTCTAAAGGCGGGTACCATACATTTAGAGGCCAGTGTTATTGCCGACAAACATCTAGTACTAACTGGATTGTTATCCTGGAGTGCATCCAGGATATATTCGACGTCGTCGTTAAATTCCTGGAATTCCCCGATTTCCTGGATCTGGTGCGCTTTTTTAACGTTCCTCACGACAGTGTAAAACTGAAAGAAAGAAAAAATGATCTTATTAGCTCTTATTAGTTCCAATCGATCTTATTATTATACAGTGTGTCCCGCCCATGCCCCTGCTCTCTGTCGGTTCTTAGGCGGAACACCCTGTAGATTATTACAATTATGTATTACCTGTTTATTACTCTTTGTACATCTCACACTCGTTACCTCCCCATCGTCCAATTCCTTAGTGACCCGTTCGAGAGTTTCATCTTTGAAATCGAAATCGTCGACGTCCACCAACTTTCCCTCGGCTATGGAAGTTGTTCGCTCTTCATTCGCTTTAGTCGGTTCCTTGTTGTCGTCGGTCCATTTGTGTTTGTACAAAGCTCGACGTTTCTTCGTCACTCCATCGTCCACCAAAGTGCGGCTCTTGAAGATGCTGCCTTTCTTCTTCGATATGACGAGTTTAACGGGAGGAGCCGGTTCGGGGGGTTTCTCCAGGATTTTATCCATTATCTCCGATTTGTGCTCTTCTACTTGATTAGACGACTGTAAAAGCAACGGTACATCAACTTATAGTAATGTAAATAGTTTGGTGTGTATTACTTTGTAATTGGGATCGGGCATGATTTGCTTGACTTCCATTTCGGGTGCGGTACTGTTGGAATCAGAATCGGTACTCCATTCTTCTTCGATGCCTACGGGTTTTTTTACTGGTGCTGGCTCGGTTTGTTGTTCGGGTTCTGTTGTTGGCACGGCGGGAATTGTATCGCCGCCATTTTCGTTAGTTTCTTCTGTTGCCTCGTTTTCTTCGACCGAACCGGGCGGTACTGGCGTTTCAATTTCATCGGGCGCCGTTTCTTCTGCTATTATCGGAGCTCCTTCAATTTCCATGTCGATTTCGCTTCGATCTTCGTCTATTTGAATTAATTAAAAAATTAATTGGGTATTCAATTAGGAAAATTTGGTCATAAACTATTCATTATTGACAATGCACTCGTTATTTATTTATCTACTAAAAATACTAAAACGAATGAACTATTCAAAACGAGTATGATAAACGCTTAAATTTCATCGAAAAAATTACAATGCGACAAGATAAAACAGAATTCTTAACTTTACCTTTATTATCTAGTACATTATCGATATCTTCTGTCGATTCGATGGTCTCGTCGGTAGACTTATTAGCGCAGTCGTCGAAATTGACGAGCTCATTAGATTGAGCTTCTTTGGGAGAATTGGGTCTGAGCAGATTATCGTACATGGCCTTCCGTTCCAGTTCGTACTTCTCAGCCGGGATGTATTGGGGAGAGAGATCGCTGTTGTCGTTCTTGGGGCTGGTAAACAGGGAAAACTCGCTAGGAGTATCCGCCATCGCCGGTGAACTACTAGGATCTTGTTGCATGCTGCGTCTGGCCGATCTATACGGGAAAACAAACGGTAGAAATTTACAATTTGTAAATGTTTCTAATTCATTAAAAATCCACCTGACTAAATCGATAATTATTTATATTGTGGAACAGGAATTTAAATAATTTATAGCATTCATTAATAAATAACCTCTTTTCATCATACTTTTAAACTGTGTCAACAAGTTTAATGCATATTATACAGAGAAAACAAAAGCTGCTTAATAACGTAAGGATGCTGGCATAAGAAATTAAACAGAGAAGAGAAATAATATATAATACATGGAAAAGCTTCTGCCCTAATCCTTAGTGCTTTTTTTTAATTCATATATACAAGGTTTTTGTTTCGTATTATGAAGCTTCATACTCCAATAAATTTATATTTTACAAGTATATTAATTGCAACAACACATGGAATTGTAAGTATACTTTACATTAAATTTCAAGTATTGCAAAATGAACTCACCGAGCTAAACCAAATAAAAACCTTACCTCCGATTTTTAAGTATGTTCATATTCGAATGTTAGAAATTACACAATTCGTAAATAAATAGAAATTTAGCACCGAAGATGCTCAACGAATTGTGCATTGATAGTTTGAAAAAAAAAGCGTTCAACCTTGATCGTTAGTGTAAGTTTGTTACCGTATTCGAATAAAATTAAGTAAAAGGAGCACATAAAGATTGCATTATCTGCCGGCAAACGCTCGACCCAAATAATACGCGAAGAGGGAGTGTTATGCTGTAAAAACTGTTAATATTAGAAAGTTGGTGGGATCGAAGAGTAAGGAGAGAGGGATTTTACGGAGGGGATTTCTACTCGAATTAAACAAAATATTACTAATTAATTAAACATTGTTTAAGACACAAAAGTAATTGTCGGACATTAAAAAAAAGTTTAGGCAATTACTCCGAGGGCAGTGGCTGAGAAAAATCAATCTCGCTAATCAATTTGATTTGAATTGAGTGATCTAATCGAGGGATTAAACTTAAATTTAGAGCATACTTGGAAAAATAAGTACTCTTAAATTAAAAAAATAAAAAGCCATAAAATAGCCATGTATAACGTACCTCGTAATTCTACAATTACTTGGTCTTGTAGTATCCCTTAACGATCTGGGACTGGTGGCATTTGAAGTAGATGGCGTACTCGATGGGGTAGGTGTACTTTCTGATTCGTCAGAATCATTAAGCAATTGGGACTTCCCCCGACATATTCTTAATACTATAGGCGGTTTTGTGGGTTCGTTAGTTTTACTTTTATTTACATTTGAACTCAAGACAGTCTTTTCTGTGGTGCTGCTACTACTTTTAGACGAAAAGAATTTTCGTGGTGAAGAGGCTCTAGTTGTCCTAGAATATTGTTTTAATTTAAAGCACAATGTGTATGACAATTCACCACTAACCACTACTGATTTTTGAAACACAAGGAGACCTCAAATGCCCCAATACGCAAGTATTAATTCAAGCACAAATAGCAATTTACCTGTCACTGGTCTCCGCAGCGAATTTTGATTTCTTGGAGGGAGGATAATTCGAAGACGATTTGGAATACGTAGGAGCTAAATCGGGTGGTTCGTTATTCCGACTTTTGAAGAACTTTTTTGGTTTCGGAGCCGCTTCTGGTACAGGCTTGGTTTCATTTTCTGCTGACCAAATACCTTCATTAACAATGTTACTTACAAAATACACAAATATAAACAAACTACAGTCATTACTTCATTAAGAAATGAAGTCTTGTTAGACGAAAGCTCTATAAAAGTATAATAAAACTGTATAAGGCTCGATAGTGATTTTACCTTCATGTTATAAAAACCTTAAGTATCTACAAGTACTTAAGCATTGATTCCTGCTTAAGTACTTGTAGATTTGTATGTTATATATATTCTACAAACTATATAGCATATTTGAAACACTAACCATTAGCAGTACGAATAGAAGTGAATGAGGTTATACCCCATTTACCAACTGTGGCTGCAGACCTGGCAGCGGAAGGCCTGTTGCTGTTTTCCTTAAACAAATTGTCGAAGTGGAAACTGGCATGGGAGCCTCCCCCGCGGCGATATTTTCCATATCCTCGAGACATTTTTTTTGTCAGTTGCAATTTATGTGTAAGAGTGTCTCGATATCGCCGTTACGCACCATCCGTGATCCATGTTAAAAACACATTTCGGGAGTTGTTTAGTTTCATTCAGAACCATTTTACTACTAAAAAAATAGCTGCAACCGAGTTATATTTCGTTTAAAAATTGATTGTAAAATCGCCATTTTTTGATCCAACAACAAACATAAAGGTTTATAAATGCCAATCGTTCACTACAAATTAACCACATGCATTTGGTATCGGGTCAGCATGGAATTATCTGCATGTTTTAACTGAAACAATACTGGGGAAACCAACAAAAATTGTTTTTTTAGTTGTCAAAAAACAGATTTTCACATTCATAAACACGCCAGTAAATAACACCTATGATTTTGCTGTGAGAATATACAACGTTGCCACAGTATCCAAGCTAACGTAATATCTGATATATTTTTTAATCATTGGGCAGTCCAATTTAGCAATCGTACAAATATTTATATGGCTCTTTATATGTAATTACCCTAATTTAAGTAAGTATAGACTCCATTATGCGGTTTTAATAAGAATGAAATTATTAAAGAATGTAAAATGGCAACATTGTCGAATATAAGAAATGCTCAAAAATGGCCTCTTATATAAGGTGAAAGAAGTTATTGAAATTATGTCATTTTCTTCTTCTTTGTACTAGCGATTCTTCTTTCAATAATACATAACCAAAATAATTTCAAAACAAAGTATTTTTGATTTGAGCAACAGATTTTGGTATTTGTCTATGTAACAGATTTTTTTAATAAATATAGTATGAAGTTCAACAAAATTTGCAGGACATGTTTACTAGAAAAAGCTAATTTAAAACCATTATTCGAAGCTTGTTTACCAAATATGCTCATGTCGTGTGCATCTATACAAGTACTTTATTTCATATTCCTCACTAAAACCGCCCCATAAAAAGACGTATTTTCATTTTAGGTGTTAAACGGTGATGGTTTACCTAACCAAATATGCACTCAATGCCTACAGAACGTAAACAGGTCATACACCTTTAAACTACTTTGCGAAAAATCGGACTTGGAACTCCGGAACTATTTAAGCATCAATCTCCAGCCACTGTCCTTGCCTACAGATAACTTAATGAACGATGTTAAATCGGACATATTTAGTACTAGTGAAGTCTTACAGCAGAGTTCACTGTTTCAAGATATTTTTAATGATGCTACAACGCATTCTCTCGTTGAGACATTCGCGAATCAAAATGCTAGTTCAGGTAGTTATTATTGACCTATGTTTTTTACTCGAACAGTGATTTAAATAGACAATTTATTATATAGATTTGGTGGAAACTATGCAAAGTCTACAAACAATAGCTGAACAGTGTTTACCTGATTCTTGGGAAAGTGATGCAAATATTGTACCGTGTAACTCCAATGAAGCTACTGATAATTTCACTTTAGGACCAATTTATAAATGCCAGTTTTGTGAAAACATTTTCAAAGGCAAGTGCATTTCAAAACAAAGCAATTAATATAATTCATGATGATAATTGATTATCTTTTACTTGCAGATGAGTGGTCTTTATCAGATCACATTAAGATCCACACTGTTCAAAGTAAACTATTTTGCAGTATATGCAGTAAAATGTTCGATGACTCTGATGAATTAAATAAGCATATCTTGGAACATGCTTTCATAAGTGACAAACCCCATTTAAACCATTCTACAGATGCGCCTGTAAAAGGAGCTTATAAAATTAATTGCAATGTATAAGTTTTTTAAGTGATTTTTGACGAGTTCCACTACCTATTTTATTTCTAGATTTGTGATAGAGATTTTACTGATTCGAGGTACCTAAAAAAACACCTCAAGGACATCCATTTTATCGAAAGTGAACGAGGAATTGAAATAGAAAAGAAATACGGTTGTAATATTTGTGGAAAAAGGTAACAGTTAATCACCATTAAAAAAGAGTTTGCTCGATGTTATTGTTTATTTATAGGTACCGACAAAACAGACTTTTGTCCATACATATGAGAGTACATACCGGAGAGAGACCTTTAAGCTGTGATATTTGTGGAAGGACATTCGCTCTCGCCTCTTCCTTGGCAAAACACAAGAACACTCATAATGCAGAAAAAAAATTTGAATGCCAAATCTGCAATAAAAAATTCACTCAATCTTCTCACTTAAACGAACATTTACGTAACCATGCAGGTAACAATATTTTTTCCAGACCACCCTAAAGTAATAAATACAGAAAATCTCATTATTTTAGGCCAAAAACCTCATATATGCAACATCTGTGGGAAGCGTTTCATAAAAAATTCTAAATTAGTTACCCATATGAGGACACATACAGGGATCAAGCCTTACACTTGCGACTTTTGCAAGACCTCTTTTGGAAGTTAGTATAAACTAAACAGCCACTTATTTGTGACATTACATTTTAATATTTTTTGTACAGCCAATAGCCAATTGAAGAAACATATCAGAATACACACCGGTGAAAAACCCTATCCTTGTTGGCAATGTGGAAGATCATTTAGGCGCATTGAAACTAGAGACACGCATGTTCGTTACCACACAGGAGAAAGACCATACGCCTGTACAATATGTTCTAAAAAATACGTAGCAGCTAGTCATTTACGAGTAAGTATGAGACACTATAACAGGGTCTAAAGGTTACTTGATGCTTGTTGAAAGCACTAACATTAAGCTTTGAAGAAACATACTGTATTTCAGTTAAACATTTTAAAAATTTTGTACAAAATAATACCTATTTACATAGAAAGCACTGAACTGTACCTCACCCAATGTAGCTTGGCAGTTGAAAATTGCATCACATGCGCAAAGGTTAAAAGATACCTAAGAAATATCGAATGATAGAAATTTCCAATTGAAATCTTGCAATCTGTATCATTCGTTCAACGCATATCAATTGAACTCTCATTGCCTACCCTATTCCCTCTCTAAAATTTAATATATGGTGCATCCAAGTACCAAAATATTCAAATGCCAAGGTACATTGGGTGAGGTACAGCATGTCATATTTATTCAGTCTTCTTCGGAAATGCAATTTTCTACCATTTCCTTCAGATTAGGATTTTCCATTGCCGCTGCTATTCGTTCTTTGTCATTAATCTGTTTGTTAATGTCCTCTTCAGTTGTGTGTGCTCCTTTTTTGATGAAAACATCCAATTTAATTGGATTCGGTATGTTTCGTTCCACTTTGATTCTTATGCACAAGCCTATTAAAGTTGCCAATGAACAATGCGGTATCGTAGGATTAAATTCCACTCTGACGATAGAAAAATTGCTACATCTAGGTTGTGTTATAGTGATGCCCTCTTCGTAAACTACCTCTAATTGCTCTAATGTATTTGGTTTTTCTGGGTCTTTGATTGTCTTTATTAAATCGTATATAATGTCTTTTAATTCGTCAGTTCCTGTAGTATTGCTGGTTAAAACAGGTTGACTCTGCTCTTCGTTTTCAACGGATTTTTTTCTCAAAAAGTTAAACATATTTTACATTTACACTTTGGTCTTCGACTTAACCTTATTGTTACGTTACGTGACATAAAAATAAACAATGTTGCAATGTTGACTAATTTACCGTTGACGTTTATTATGTCACTGTCTAGGGAATGAACTTAATTACGACTTAAACTTAACGTAATTACTTTTAATGTGCAGTAAATAAGAATATAATTATGTATTATTTCGACTTGTTTTATGTAAAAGTGAGAAATAATTGTTGAGTATTCTAATCGTAAAGTCAAAGTAGTTGCGTTGTTGCCAGCTCAACAAAATATTCTATAAATTGTTTCTTTTTGTTGCAGAGTCATATGAAAACGCACAGCAACGATAGAAAACACGAGTGCATTATATGCCTTCAGAAATTTTTCGACTCAAAAACATTAAAAAACCATTTAAATAGCCATTCTGGTCAAAAACCGTTCAGTTGCCAATTTTGCGTGAAAGAATTTTCACAAAACGGAGCCCTTATAACGCATATTAAACAGTGTCATGCTCAATAAAATTGAAACCCATTGAACTAAACACAAACATATATTTTATTCACCGATTCTTCCATATATAAATAACTTTAATAAAATAAATAATCTGTACTCTTAGCTTTTAATTGATAGGTACAACGTCGTTAATCCATTTCAAATACTGATCATTGCCGTTTTGTATAGGTAATGAAATCACTTCGCAAACTGTGTAGGGATGATTGGCCTTTACATATTCAGTCAAATCGTTTACTTTACAAGTTCTAGTCTTAATCATCATTAATAATTCGGTATCTTCATTGACTTTCCCTTCCCATTCATAGACAGACATAATTTTAGGTATAATGTTAACGCAAGCCGCTAGTTTATTCGAAACTAAACCATGAGCAATGGTTTTCGCAACCTCTTCGTTGGGAACAGTAACATAAGCTACAGAGTGCTCTCCGGGTATAATCGTAGAGGTTTTGTTAAAATTCGATATCTCTCCGGACATAACTTTTGAATTAGACGCCGTGACTGCAAAACGCCGGATAAATCTGAAACAAATCTAGCCTCACTTGTTGGATACGCTTGCATTAAAATCGCGATTAATTTTTAACAACATACCCCAGATATATCGTCGAAAGTACTAAGCCTTTTTGAATTATCATTCCAAAAACTCTTTGCTGATTTTTAAAACGTAAATACTTACCAATTATCAGTTTATTATACGCAAAATCTTTGGATTTTGGAATCGATTTTTGTTTTTGTTTGAAAATCAACTCAGTTGTCAAATGTCATTCCTGATAAACGCCTGTCAACAAAAGAGTAGGCAAATGGATAACGAGAATGCACAGTTTTCAAAATGGTTGCCTAATTTCAGGTTAATGTAAGTATATTTTATTATTTGTTATACCCTTTATATCGGTTTTTCGGTAGGAACTAGCCATAAATAAAGCACTGGGTAATGTTGGTTCAATATTCATTTAAACAATGATGTACATTGGAGCAAATATTCGATAGAAATACTATAAAACTAACAAGGGGATTATATAAAACAATATTTATTATTACAAAATATGTTGGTAATTTTTTTCAATACACTTTTACAGTAACAATACATTCTAACATCCCCATTAGCGCAATAAGATGTCGGCGCGTATCTATCTAATCTATTAATTTCTTTTAATAACATAGTTTCCTTGACATCGTAAGTTACTTTAACGGTCGCTTCGAAGTTCGCCTCCGGATTCGTCACGACTCTGATTAGATAATTTTCCTCCAAACCTGGTCTCACAACGAGTCTCTTAACGTGAGCTATTCCCTCCAAAGAAAACGAAGCACAGCCCTCCGCTGCGTGTCCGTAGGATCTAATTTTACTGTTAAGTTGTTCTAGAAAAAACTCGGCGAGTTTCCTCGAGTTTGGAGTATTTTTGTCGATGGTTTCGTATTTGGAGCAGGTGCAGTAGTGCTCCGGTATGCCGGCTTCGCTGCAAGTTCGCTCCGACGGGATGCTCCGAAAAAGCGACCGGCAACCGGAACAACCGTCTGCAGGTTGCTCGTGGAAGTTTGCAGAAGAAAGCGCCAGGACGTGCTGCAGCGTCATGTAAAGGTCGTAATTCGACGTGAGTTTTTCAGTATTTTTCACGAGGTTTTTGTACTCTTCGGCGTGAGATTTCCTACAAACAGAACATTTCACTGATACAGTAATAAACGAATGAGAATTTATAATACCTAAATTTTTCCGGTATCCAAATGTAGATGAATGGTAGTCGCTCTTCCACCCATCCTGTAGGAGTCAGTCTTATCTTTCCAAACCTAAATCCATGGTCACTGAAGAAAATTATAATACTGTTTTCCATATAACCCTTTCTAACTAATTTTTTGAAGAATATCACGAACTCATCGTCCATAGAAGAAGGACAATTCACGTCTTCATGACTAAAATAATAACATACACTTGTAAGTAGTCATATTTCCAAATTTTAATGAAATTATGGGGTACTTAAGCTAGAATTGACTCAAGATTGTACTCAATCTTGGGTCTTTCAATTTATCTGACCTATATATTGGTTAAAAGATTTTGTAATTTACCTAAATGTATTCATCCAAAACAAGCCAAAGCCAGGTGTCCTATTATCAATGGCGCTTAGAAAACCAGTGATTAAGTTAAGCATTCTGTTGCCAGTTTTCTCCGGACCCGTGCAATATGACTTTAAACACAAATACTTCGCAGGTAATTGATCGGCAACTATGAAATACGGGCGAAAATAATAATCAGTAGGCGCCGCCACGAATCCTGCTTTGTTACTGTTGAAAGTACCTAAATAAAATTAAAGTTGTTAATCCTGGAAGGCTTTTATCCAGCGAGTACCTACCGATCTTAGGAGTATCTTCTCCTAAAGCTGTGGTGTAATTGGCCTTTTTGAACGTTTTCCAAAGAAAATTGCAGGATTCTAACTTATTAGAATCGTATGGATTGCATTTATCGGAAAAGTAGCCTTCGTGGTAGGAAAATTTGGCTCCGGCAATCACTGCTATAACATTTGGAAACGTATTGTCTTCTACTTTGTTGTAACCTTTTAGGTTCACCCAACCCGAGGCCTTTAGGAGATCGTGGGTTTTAGGCATTGTTCGGATGAAATTCGAGGCCGAAACTCCGTCTATTCCTGCAATTAATATTCAGATAAAATTTACAAATGTATGAGTGCTTGTTAATGTACCTATTAGAAGGACGTTGGGGTAGTTTTTGTTCGGTACTTCCCTTGGGGGTTTGAAGATGGCGTATACATTTTCGTATACTGTTAAAAATGCCGTGCTGCATTTCACTTTGATCACCTCAACGTTTATTTCGACGGTTTCCGTGAATGGAATGCATTCTGAAAAACTAAATTTTTAAATACCATCAGTAAACCTGTGAATTACATGAACGTTTTCAGCCTTAATTCTTTAATTTATTCGTGGGTTCGAATAGACGACATACCAGAATATAATAACAGAGTTTAGACAGCACGCGAAGCCTTGACAAAATCAATACCATATTTCTCTGCCTACATTATTGAAGAAATCAGATTAGCAGTACTCAATGCTATCAAGTTTTAGTATCTACTTAAATGATCCATAACTACAATATTCTGGAAATAAACTAATTCCCTTCACTTTCCTAATCTATTACATTTATTTATCGTTGTACTTACATAAGATTATCGTCTGGTTTTGGCCCAGTAGGATTCCTTTCGACCTTTTTGTAGCAACATTCTATAGTTAAATAACTGTATGCACTAAAAGCCGTTGTATTCAGGCTCAACAAAGTTTTTCCTCCGACTTCAGTGGTGTATGCTAAATGCGGCTTGTCAGTGCAAGAAATAGGATCGACTTTGTACAATAATTTTTTTATTTCCGGACTGTAGACTTCGATGTTTTCTATGATACATCCAGGTGTATTCACAAGATATCGTTCATCTGTAAAAATTATCCCGTTTAAATTATGTGCGGGAAAAATACGTGTTTTCAAATTCCAAAAGGGACATTTTGTGAAACAACGCATTACAAGAATGCATCTCACTTTAGTACAAGGGACTGTATGAATACCCTGTATAAAGAAACAAACCGAATCACCGTGTATAGATTAAAGCGGTCTGTGTAATTCAGCACCCTTATTTCGATATTCGGAGCCAGTCGGTTAGGGGGAAGGTGCCGCCGCGTCGTGACGCCGGGTTCGTTGTTCTTCACGCAAACAGGGGTTGGAACAAGCTTGATGAGTGCGACCTCGTTTCTCTTTCAAACCGTAATCACTGCCAAATATCGACTTGTGTCTTTGGTCAAAACATTAAGAATATGCGTGAACTCAATTTAATAAAGCAGTTACTTTTATTAACCTTAAAAACGCCTTTAAAGAGCCAATTAAAAGTAATTCTTATCAATTTATACTAATGTAAATTTAAACAAGCGTTTATAAAAATCACTGGATCACGAACCGATGTATTTATTTTAGCACTTAACAAAACTAATATTATGATTCGCTCGTGAAATTTATAATTCCGAGTTTACCTAGTAAATAGAGGTTATAAGGTAGTCAATAATGTACCTACACATTGTATACACACTACAAACGAACGAAACTTACCTGTATACCTAGAATAATTCTCGTTTATTACCGTTTTCCTTCCGCTAAACAAGTAGTAGACAATATAAACTACGTTACAGAATATAATTGCCCTAAAACAAAACGATAACATTCGACGAGCACCGATCATTGCGATTTCTTCCATGATAAGAACTAGAATTAACCCCCAAAGACCAATAGCACGTTTTCAGAGAAACTCGTCATGCGTTTGAAACGGGCAGGTAAATCGAACATTGAATATCAATGAATGGAATTGAATGGAATAGCACTATAGCACTCACAGTTTAAAAATTGAACTCCACTGTTCATTACCTAACTAACACGGGTTTTTATCTGAAAGCAATAAAATTAATTACAAAAATTGCTAGTAATTTTTCAATAGGGATTCACGCCTGCGTTAAGTAGACAATATTGGTATCGTGAGTAGAGAGCGCAGACCAATTTTCTTTATAAACTTGACGAGACTGTGCGAAACAATGATGTCACTGAAAGTATTATGTATTTTTTCACGCTTATACTCGCTAATTATTATTATGGCAATTGGAGAATTTCTACTGGCTACTGTTCTACTATAATAGTAAAATAATCTGTGATAACAATAAATATGTGTAGATATTTCTAATCTCCTTTATTTATTAGATAAATTGAATTTGTTATTGGGTCTATTAAGTATTAATTAGATAGTGAAGTTCATAAATATTGATATTAATTAAAAAGTTGCAGGTTTTTTGATCGCCAAATTTAGTATGAGTTGTAAAGGTAGTGGCAAAAAATCCACTCAGATATGAGAGAAAACATTTAATTTCGCATATTTGAAAATTTGGTGGTAACTTTTGTGGAGCAATTTATTTTAATATTGGAAGTCCTTTTGTTAGTACCTGGGTTACTTTTAAATGTCATTGTTAATCGTTACACAAAATGTACAAAAATAGAACATTTGATAGATTTTTTATTATTTTTTGAATATAATGCTAAATTATTTTTTCCGTAGAATAATAATTATCCTTTTCCATATCTGACGTATGCGCATGTAGGTAGGTAAAGGTTTTATCGATATTTTTTCAGAATAGGAATCCACATTAATTTGTTTATCGTGTGGTATGTTGAATAAAAAACAATTATTTCAACCATTGAAAACATTAAAAATAAAACTATTTAAAATTTCGAATTAGCGTATATTTTATAAGATTAATTATTTAACAAACTTTACGAAAATACGAATAAGTACATCTATTTAAGTTAAGGCATGTAATATCACATAACTTGTATGCATTGTCTATTTTTTAATAACATATAAATAGCGAACATCAGCATTGTCAACGCAGGAAATACTGTATGTACATACAGTATAGTACATTTCTGAAAAAGTTAAAACTGCGTATTTTGTTGAAGGCTCTAAAAATAGTTTATAAACTTACATTTATACTATACATATCTTTGTAAACTCTACTAATAATTATTTTCAGCAACAATTTGTACGAAAATTTTGGGACAAGAATTGGCCGAAAATAAATTCAAATATGTATAGGTATGCATAAATGTGATGTGAAATTAGAAATACGAGTACAATAGAAAACATTACGATAGCTTATAACCATTGGGGAATACATATTTTTAGGTCAATTAACGTTTTAACAATAAAATACACCAATCAAGCTGGTTTATCACTAAAATACCAAACCTACATTAACGAATTATTGTACTTTTTACATTAGAACATTTTTAAATATTAATCTATGTATATTATTAAAAAATTTGAAATACAAAATATTCAGTAAAATTCAGCTATTTAGGCTCATGTTTAATATCTTCAGAATTATTGTCCATCTGAAAGGAATTTATTTTATAACTGGGACATTCTGTATTTTGTTCTATTTTATAAAACTCGCTACTGTAAAAGAAGCATTATTATCTATCTAAAAAGGAAATTAATTCCTACATATTTTCAAGCAGTCAATTTTCAAATAAAATTATAAAACAATAAAACACAAAACCAACATATATCGTTTGCTCCATTTTCGATTGCAACATGGTCATTTCTATGAGTGGAACAAAGAAAGATTAATAAAATGACAGTTGTCAGAGTGAAAAGTTGCAATGACACAAATGTCACTCTTTCCTTTTCCTTTGTAAGTGTCTAATGCATAGACCTATTAACTAGGTCTATGGTCTAATGGAAGTTGTCTTTATCGCACCCATGGCCTATATAACCTATGTTGCGATAAAAAATGAAGCAACCTGTAAATAAATAAATAAATATAAAAATAAATAAACAAAGTCTTCAATATAGACTGTAATACTTTTTTAAGCGTCATTCATATTATGGCATTAATCTTCAATATATTACAGTGACGTAGCTAGAATATTTTTCTCTAAAGATACAAATCTATATAAACAATTCTTCAATAATCAACAATTCATCTGGAAGTTTGTAGACAAAGTGCTAAAAAAATATACTTTTTATAATCTCGGTGAAACTTTTTGAAGCACAATAGCAATACTTTTTAACGGGTCCATTACGAACGCACGACGTGACAGGGCTATATCTATCGATTCTACCGATGCCCCCTAACAAATTAAAATATCTTTCGTTGCCAGAAACGGAGGCTTCGACCGTCGCTTCAAATATGGCCGGAGGAGCAGTCTTGACTATCACCAAATAGTAATTGACCGTTTGATTCTGAAGATTGACGTACGGTTCCGAAACGCCGGCCGATCGGACCTTTTGCAACGTGTAAACCGAGCACAGCTCTCCTTGAGGTAGTTTTTTAATAAGTTTATTCGTTTCGTTAATAACGAAGTGCGACACCAGGCGCACCAAAGGGGTATTAGGATCCACGTAAGTGTGGCCCTTGCAGGTGCACCAGTGCTGCTCAATGTGAGCCTGTTCGCACGTCCTGTTTTCCGGCACCGCGGAAAATAAAGACAGGCACTCGCGGCATCCCCTACTGTAACTCTTCCTATAGCTGCTGTTTCCTATTTCTAATATATCTTCTAAGGTATTGTACAAATCATAAGGAACTGTTAGTCTTTCGGCGTTGGTTAAAAAATTTCTGTACTTATAGTTGTAGAGGGAATGGAATTTGTTGGGTAAACGAACGTACATAAATGGCAGTCGTTCTTCTAACCAACCGGAATGCGTGTAACGTAACTCCCCGAACCTAAAACCGTGGTCGCTGAAAAATACTAAAACCGTATTTTCCAACGAGGACATAAATTCAGGATCGCTGAATAATTTAAAATATGATTCGTCCATGACGCTCGCCATGTTGACGTTGTCATGGCTGAAGCTGTTTGCCCAAAACACGCCGAAAGTAGGCACGTTTTTGAAACTAATAGCGAAATCTTTGGCCGCGTTTATTAATCTATCGCCGGAGGTTTCGACTCCAGCGCAATAGGTCATATCGTGGCGTTTCTTCACCCCCAACTTTTCAGCGGCTAAAAAATACGAATGGTAGTAAAAATCGGTGGGCTCCGCCAAAAACCCCGGCCGGTCCCAGTTGAAGGTTGTGATGGCGCATTCGTCTTCCGCATAAGCCGTTATGTACCCCGAATCCCGAAATTTATCCCAGATAAATTTGCAGTTGTTCATCTTCACTGAATTGTTGCAAATATCCTCCAGCTGCGACATGTTGTAGCCAGTCAGCAGAGCCATCAGATTGGGAAACGTATTTTCGCCGATCTTATTGTACCCCCTCAAATTGTGGAAGTTCTTCTCGGCGAATCGGTACGTCTTCGGCATGGTTCTTTGGATGTTGGACTTCGACATGCTGTCGATTCCCAGCAGCAGAACGCTGAATTTCGGCTCCTCCGGGTATTCGACCGTTCGCCGTGGAACAGGCAATGTGGTCGCGTGGACATTTTTATACACTTTAAAAAAATTGTTTTTGCATTCTACTTGGACGTACGGGTACGTCAGGACGACCGAATCTTCGAACGGTATGCAATCTGTTAGTCTAAAACAGAAATAGAGACTTGTGGAAATGATGATTGGAACTGATTTTTTTTCGATATTGATGAAATTTGTTGGCACTTACTTAAATTCATTGTCGGCTTTGATTTGGTAATGAACCCTCGTTATGTTGGAATAGCAGCACTGGATACTATATTTACTGTACGTCTCTAGCAGAGACTTGTTTACGTTTAAAGTGACAACATCGTGGGTTTTATCGATGTACGTAAGGAGCTCGTAATCCGAACATTTATAAGATTTTTCTTCTTCAAGGAAATCGATGACGTCTTCGTTGAAAGGATCGTCTTCTGGGATTTTACATTGCGACGTGTTTATGAGATACGCTACTTTTTTGATTTTTATTGACGTTATTTGATCTAAAACGTTAACGATATTTTCACATTTCTTAACGTAAATATGCTTTCCTATTCTTGGAACATAATCGATACCTTGGAATGTTTCGAGTGGACGGAATAAGTGGTAAGGCATTGTATAAGAAATATTAACCTATCAACGAGATCTGTGGGATCACTGTATCAACAGTTTAAAACAACTACGTATATTTGTTTTAATCATGAAATATGCAGGTATTAGCAACAGCAGCAGCTAGTAAACGATTTTACCAGGTTTTTAGTAACAGATTATGCGAAAACTTTTTTTCTATCAACCGACTTTTCATAGGTACCTAAGAGTCTGTATTCATATATGTAAACTTTAACACTCTCAGTATTCAATAACTACTTAATAAATTGTTTAACTTTTTTTCCAAAATATGAATGAAATTTTAGAGATAGTTAAAGGATTTAAAAACGAGTGCTGAATAGGGGAAATATGAATCTGATGGTAAAATCAGATAGTAACATAGTATCCATGTACCATAAATTTATACATTGGTTATATGCGCAAACAACACGTGTTTCATGCGAAATATTTCAATTATAATTATGCTATGTGCAATAGAAATTAAACAGAATTGAAATTACAAATAATTATAATAAATTTTACGAACCTAATTGGAGTGATGAGAATTCTTCTATTTCTAGGGTCTGCAGATTATAGGTAAATATTAATATCACAGATATTGAAATCACTAAAAGGACTTTCTTCCACGAATCTCGAAATATTGGAGGAAACTGAAAGTTTGAAAAATTCTTAGTTAATAAAAAGTACTTAATATGCTACTATTACGCTAATTAATTGCCAAATTCTGTAATTTTCCGCAATATCTCCTATTGCGTTTCGAGAACCCTAAGTAGGCATGTATAAGCAATATCAATACTATAAAAAATTACTATTTATTAAAAATACTATATGTAGGTACTAGTAATATCAGATTACTATTGATAATATTGCTAACATACACAACCATTTTATGATTACCACGTTCATGGGAATAGAACGATTTATTAGAGGGTTGCATGAGTTATGTTTCCAAAAATCACCTAGAGGGTGTGAATGACTTTTTGGCTTTTCGTACAGGTACTGCATAGATATTAAGAAACGCGTAACGAAAAATAGTGAAGAACGAATTCGTGTAGAATTATTCTGATTTCTTTGATCCTTTTTTCGGTATTGCAACACTTAATGGAACATTGCACTTCAAAACACTCCCTTCTTATTGCTGTAATAAAGTCAATAAAGTCCCCTCAGTTGGGGATGTGGTGTAAGAACCATGAGTATATACGTCTAGTATGTATATTGATCCATATCTTATGAAAATTTCCTCGATTAATTCATACTTTACGCTTTTTATAGTTGGTATTACGTACCTACTTTAAACAATTTTCAAATTATTACTATAGTTATAAATTTTTGATATAATTCCTGTATAATCCTTTGATTTATAGTTAGATATTGGTATAACATGATATAATAAACTGGAAAATAAAGGTTTGTAGGTGATAATTTCGTGATAATACTCTATACTACTTCAGTGCTAGCTTAAATTGGTTTTCAATTTAATTTTTGTCAACAAATTACTCCTTTCTTGATCATATTGACCTAACACTAGCTTTTACCGCAAATGTTTATTATTGGCGACATTCATTATTTCATAAAGATGATAATTAAAATTATAGTAAATAAAATGCGTAAATTTGCGTAGATAAGGAATATTTGGCAATAGTGCCTCATTAATATACCTAGGGATACTCAAAATATAAAACAAAATAATAGTTTATCATTATAAATCTGCTATACAACGTCAGCCAATGTAATAAATCGATCAGCTCAGTTCTGAAGGTGAGTACTCAATTTTCAAAAACACTTACATTCTTCCAAATGCTCTTAGTAGCTAACATTTTGCATTTGAAGCCTTTTGATTCCAAAAGACAGGCGTCAACGTGTCACGCTCGAACTCGTCCTGGCGATGGAAATCTCACAGTTAACAAACCGATCAGAACGCCTCAGGACACGCCGCATCTCCAGCATCTCGACGCATACTGGCTCCTGAATTTTTACGTCGGTGCTTGGCGTTGGCGCTCAAACCACCGCCAGTCCTGCGGAGCGGGATGTTCTATTCAACACTTGCACGGGTTTCAAGCTGCGCTGCGCTAAAATCGACCAGCCGACGACACTCCGTCCCCGACGCGAAATTACGTTTTTGAACTAAAAATACTGAAATAAATAATTGAGCCTATAGGTAACCTAACAGCTTAATAAATGTTGAAATTGAGAGATACGCAAGAAAGATTATTGGGTATTGATTATCTTATCAATTTTTGATTCGGATTCTGTAGGTACCTGACAACTCTATACAGTTGAGTAGAGGGTATGTGAAGATATTACTACATACTACCTAAATTTTGTTATCTCTTTGGCCTATTTATAATACACAGATAAAAAAAAATACGTGTAGATATGGTGTTTTATTTTAAGTAGATATATAGGTACACTTTATTTTGCTCCATATACGAAAAATATAAATTTGAAAAAGAAGTATTCTATTAACTTACGATAATGAAGGTGGTGCTATAGCATCCTCCATAGCGTATTTTAATTTGGTTACAGTGTTATATACAGTATCATTTTTGAACTAGGCAATGTTTTGTATTCAAATTTTTTGTAATATTTTTTTCCTAAACTACCAAAATGGATCCTCGAAATAATAGCCTTTTTTCTAGTTAGTAATACATTTAAAATCCCTGAAGAGTTCACAAACCGCTCCCTTATTCAAAACATAGAGTACTCCAAGAAAAATGAGGATGATAGGAGAATATGCGCATCAAACCCTGAACCAAGGTTTTTTGCTTGTATAAAAACTCGATGAATCCACAGAGTTGTGAATCAAAAATCCACAAAATCACGAAGATTCTGCTTATAACTGCTCCACAAAAGTTAGGGAAGTTCGCAAATTTTGCGATTATTTTAAAAGTTACGGACTTTTTGATCACCAAATTTTCAAATAAGCGAAATTAAATGTTTTCTCTCATATCTGAGTGGATTTTTTGCCCTACCTCTACAACTCATACTAAATTTGGCGATCAAAAAACCTGCAACTTTTAAATAAATCTCAATATTTGTGAACTTCCTTAACTTTTGTGGAGCCGTATAAAAAGCTCACTTTGCTCACTTTGCTCACTTGCTATCTCTTGCGACGTTATTTTTTATGAAAAATTGATTCCGTTCATTCGCGTTCATGATAACGCAATAACAGTGAATATTCAAGTGTATCGAATTGGAGTTCATTAAATATTAAGCGGGGATAAACTTCCAATAAATCGCCTTAATGAAGTCTGTAATTCTGGTTCGAAAATATCTAAATCGATAGCGTATGTAGCCCGCATACAAAAATTGATTAAAATTATTTCATGCTGTCGTATAAAGGTTTTTTTTCGAATGGCAATCGATAGTAAAGTAAAGGGTATAATTTTCTTGTCTATAAAGTTTAATATTGGAGGATCCACTTTACTTACCTACCTTGTTCTTGCTGTTGTTTAGGAATACTAATTTCATTCATAGGATAATTAAAACAAAATTTAATGCATAGACATAATATTTCTTAATTCAATGTACAATATATAATAGTATATACAAACAGCAAAATCATACAGAGTTCATTGTGACTACTTGAATAATTTATTCTATATACTTAGGATTTTTGTTCATATAAAATGAATATAAAAATGCCAATAATTTTACACAATTTTTTCCTATTGTTTAGTTCAAAATATTGAAAATGAGATGAAAAATGAATACATTAATTTTATATTGGTCCGAAAATAAGTAAATGATATGTGAAAATCGTTTTTGGTCTAATTGGAATCAAATTTTAAAAAACCATAGATTTTATCACGTAATTTTGAGCCAATGTCACTTCACACTCCCCGAGTTAAATGTATAATTGAATTGTGATAATAACACGTATTAGTTAAATCCATTATGTAAAAATGAATTTAATTATTACTATTTTATTATCATTTTTTAATTGGTCCACGTGTACCAAACGATGTTATTACATAATTTGACAACATTATTGCTCTAGAAGGGTGTTGGGTGTGCAATACATAATAACAAAGTATTTAAAAAATTAAATATATAAAGTACCATTAATTTAATACAATAAAGTAATTTTATCCCAAATCCTGAATAGCGTTGAAACGGAAAAAATTATTGGCGTATTTTTATACCGTTTTTATTTATGAAAAGTTTACATTTGGAAGCAACTGCAGTGGTAATATGTAAATATTACACAGATAATTCCTTTGGTAAAACTATTCCTGCTATCCCGATGTTATTAAATATAGAAATATGTAATACCAATGGATTGTCGGCGCAAATAAACGTGTAACGTGTGTAAACTTTAAATAAATAGCTGTACCTTCCCTACTTATAATGTTACAGCTTATTGACATCTATGTTTCGTCTAAGTTTCTTTAGAATGAGTTTAGTTTTAATATTTGTATGTATTGGCATTTAGAATTATGAAAAATTCTTGTGAACCTCGTATATATTAATTTTATATCTCATTAGTTACCTTTAAAAATTATTAATTCTGTTAGGAACTTGGACCCTATACATCAGATAGTGCTTACAGACAGACACGTTTAAGGTATATTACATATACGAGAGACGTTTTGTAATTATTTCGATTTAAATGAAGCTTATTTATTTGCAGAAGAGTAACGAATTTAAAATTCTAATAAATTTCTAATTGACATTTTATAAAAATCAATTTTTGATTGTCGACATTTCTAAAACACAAAATCGTTCTGCAAGATTTTCAATCTAAATGATTACAAATCCCCCCTCAAATATAAATAAAACGCTATCAAATTTTCACCAAAAATATATTTTTCTATCACATCGAATTTTAAACGATATTTTACACAAAGTCCACTATATAACATAATATTTTTTTCGCTAATTTTAATCATTAGTTTAATATACAATAATTGAATATGTTAAAATTACTTACACTTAAACTTCATATCACAGTCTTGTCAGAGTTCTTTTTAAAAAATATTATATGTGGTGTTTGTGTTTAAAATTTAAGCTACTTACAAAACAACTTCAGGCCACCCTCAGAATTATTATATACCTACCTCAAATGCTTGATTTAACAGTTATTACTAAGTTCAGGAATGTTGTGTATTAATACAAACTGACAATTGCATCCATAAAAAATTATTGTTATTACGATTTGGGAATTTTATATTTGTAAAAATAAATCTGAGAAGGTAGACAAAAATGCTGAAGGCAGCCCTGCATTTTGCTTCCTTAAGGTGTCATGTCCGACTTATTATAAAAGGTTCACAGAATTCTTTACAGCGTAATAATACAAGAAGCCTATGCACATTGAGATGCAAAAAATGACCGAGAACAGTCCTAAAATGTAGGTACCTAAATTTTGGTTCCAAATTTTCTACTATAACTATATTTTTGTTTTAATTATTAATACTATATTTTATATAATATATTAAACTGGCCGTTTTCGTTTATTGAATTTAACTGGTTGTTTTATTCCATTGGTTGCGATTATAAAAAAATTGATATTTGTATAAAGTGGTACCTCTGCGATTTTAACTTTTCGAACTTAAGCTGAATTTATGGACTAAGTAGATTATTAATGCTGCATAATTATTAAGCGAATTGAGTGAAGAAGATATTCAATTAAACAGGATTACAACGTACAAATAATGATAAATTACGAAAATTATAAATGAAGATTAAGAGCCAGAGAGACTCTAAAAATTAAAGCCAATTTCAAAGAAATATGGTAAGAAGATTCGAAGAATACCTACCTGCGGAAGTAAATGAAGAATGTGCAATTAATTTTGAATACAAACTAAACTGTGTTTTTAAACTTTTAAATTTTTAACTCTATTTTGGAAGTTGTAATTTAGGAAGAGCTTAGAAACACAAAACACTCTTCGCAATTTCATAATTAATACATAAAATCAAATTAAGCATTATAATCATGTAATAATCCATAATAGCTCCAAATACTGGCAATGTTTTATTTAAATTTTATTCAATAAAAATTTCTAATATCCAAAAATATATTATATCCCAATTTTCCCCTGTGAACGTATTTGTTTCGAGCAGAGATTAAAAAAAACTGTATAACAGGCCATTTTGTATTGACTTTAAGCTAGTAAGTACCCGATATTACTATTTCATTGACACGTTTTAATACTTACAAAATGATAAAAGAAAAATATTATGTAATATAATCGATCGTACATGCACGCGTCTGTAAAAACATTTTCTTAAAATACCGTTTAGGAAACGAATTTCACAAATATTGTGAAACGATCCCTCTAAATCAAGTATTTTCGATTTTTAAGCGATTTTTAGAATAAATGTGCTGTCGGCAATTTGCAATTTCAATAATTTTATAATAATCATAAACGTACTAATAAATTTTAATATAAAATACATCAATATAGCTTCTTTAGTCGAAGTGAAAGGCGTTATTTTCAAATACTGAAACGATTCATTTAATTTATCCAATAGTCCGACGAAAAACAGCAACATTTCCCTAAAAATGTCCAATTCTCATTCATCTATACGAACCAATAGAATAAAATCTTTCTGCCGCGAATTTATCCTCAACATTATGTACAAATTATACAATATAAATTTGATTTAGACCTTTTTTTCATCAAATACTCTAACATACGATAAACATTATTCATCGTCCTTAGGATTATCACACTGTTTCACTCACATTGTCCCGCGGAGCAATGAGAAAGAAAGATAAGGGAACACGTCGAATGAGAGACTAATCACTTTGCATTGTAAACCAATAACGCGAGATCGAACCGAAACGCCATTTTATCGTAAATTAGGAATCCGGCGTTCTTTTTAAACGAACGGGTCACGCAGTTTCTCTCTAACTCAGTTTACAAATAGTTAACCCGGCGGATCTTTTTCGATACACACAAACACCAAAATGATTATCAAAAAAAAATCCTTTCGTAAATAAAATTTCCATGAAATACATCCAAGATTGTGTACCGAAACCGACGCGCCGGAGTAACTATACAGCAATGGAATACATTTTTCCAAAAACCACACCAGCAACATTCGAGCGGCGTTTACAACATTGCGATCTGGAATCGAAGGGGCCTTCGCAAAAACATACTCCGCATTGGCATTAACCGTTACTTATGGGGGTTCATTCGAAAAGGGCCAGAATGTCGTCGTTCGTGGACGTGTTGGCGGGACCGGAACTGCTGCCGCTCGACGGCGGCGTATTCAAATCCGGCGGATCCAAATAGGACAGTAGTTCCATTGGATCGACGCTATCGGGCAGTAACTGCAAAAAAAACCAAAACGCTTAATTTAAAAGCCCTACAAGCTCTGTTAGCGAGCTGATCCATTGCGGAGATGTCGCGCCAGAAGTCTCGGTAGATCGGCAACGAGACTCGAAACTTCAGAGATCATAAACGAGCAATTAAATTAATAACTTACATTCAACGCCTCCTGTCCAGTTCCCTCTCCGTCGATGACCGCTGCCGGGTCGAAGTTGAGATCCGAGGGTATTTCCGAGATCGAGCTGTCGTTGTTCGCGGCGCCGTTCGAATTGCTGCCGTTGGAAGTACCGTTGGTGGAACCGTTGCTGGTGTTGTGAGAATCCGACGGCGGCGGAACGCTCGGCGGGCCCGTCGTTCCGCCTCCGGGCGTGTGCGCCGATCCGGGCGTGCCGCCGCCGGGCGTGTGCGGCGTGTGAGGAGTGTGCGGCGTGTGAGGCGTATGAGGCATCTGCGCGAACAAACGAGGAGTTACGTTAGAATATCCTAAGAGAATTCCGCCGCGGCATCACTTACCTGTTCGTTGAGACTTTTCTCCATCGCGTTGAGTGGGTCCAGCGAATTCACAGATTCGCTGAGGTGCGACAATGGGCCGTTGCCGCCCAAGTAGTCGTTGTTGCTCGAGTACGAATTGCTGTAGCCCGCCGAGCCGCCGCCGTTCATCATCGAGCCGCTGGCGATGCTGTTCATGTCCGGAGGTAGGTAGGGCGACATGGCTTGCATATCCCAGTTGTTCATGGTCGGTAATGTCATGCTGCCCGGCGACATCGCCTTATTGCGTTTACTGGCGCTGCAAGAATCGTTGCCTTCGTCCTCCATCTACAACAATTATTAAACAATTAACTACAGAAACCACTACATCAACAAGAAGAAGCGTTTTAAAATTGAGTGGCCCAAAGACAATTGGAAGGATCATTGGAGTCACTCTGAAAGATCACGTTGCAAATGAGAACTTTAAAGCTAAGACTGGAGTAGAACGTGGTAGAAAGAATGGCAAAATTAAAATGGAACTGGACCAACGGAATGGAGGAAAAATATTAATGCTCTGGAGGACAGGATTACCGGTAACTGGATCCAAAAAGCGGAGCATAGGGATAACTAAAACAACTAAAAACGGATGATGATGATGATGACGACGCCGTCGACGACGATAACTAAAGTTAGACTAAAGAATTTAATGAATTATAAGTTACCTTAATTCCTGGCATGTTTCCTTTAGCCGCTTTCCAATTTGCCGAACTGTCAATAGTAACTTCCTCCACTTCTGAAGTGCTCAAAGTGTTGAGGATGCCCCACATGTACTGGTCGACTTCCAAGCCTTCTAATTGCGCAGGTTTACTGGAATAAGAACATGCGTTAATCATACTGTTGTGTTAATTATTTGTAATAAACCTACTTGCACACAGGACACCGCCAGGCACCCCTTTCGCAGTTCAATTGTAGGTAAGACTCCAGATCGAAACATTGTATGTGCTTGCACTCGTGTCCCCTGGCCGGCAGCGTTATCCTTTTGAACGTTATCGGACATTTGACCGACACTTTGAGCGAGGTTTGCTCGACGGCGTCCCTATCGCCGGCCCCGTTGTTAGACGCGCCGGTATTGCTGAAGTTCCTCTTGATTTTGGCGATGCAATGATCGGCCGTGAGCAGCCGTTTCCGCAGAAGGCCTTGCAGCACCGACCGCACGCTCGGCCTGTGGACGAGTTGCAGCACGAACAGGTGCGAGCAACAGCAGGCCGACACGGTGATTTGTATGGTATTCCTGCCCGGCTGGCACACGTCCTTCAAGTACAAAGGCTTGTGCGATGTCTTATTCTCCCCCCTATCGATCATCAGCGGCGTGGCGTTCACCGAGACTTGAACGGACGCCGGCCAATTGGTGTTCATTTGCCTGTCTTCGTGATGGAAGCACTTGAGCTGCAACTCCAAATCCTGCCGCCACATTAAAGTCTGATGCACCGTTGGTTTTAGCTGAAATACGTGGTTGCTGACTGCTAGGTTGTGTTCGAGCCGGAACGGTGGTAGGATTATGCCGTCTCGTACTGGGAAGGTTAGCCTCAATTCATCATCTACAACGATAAATATAATTCGTTAATATGTTTCTTAAATTTGTCGTGTTTTGTACGTACTTTGCAAAGGTAAAGGTGGTTTCATATCGTTGAAATTGGGCTTGACGTCTGGATTCGGACTGATGTAAGGCGGCATACTGCTGGCCGGAGTGAGAGGAGGTGTAGGATTGCCCGGAATGGGGCTGTGTTGATAACTCATGTTATTTCTCATCGTTACATCTTGCTGGAATTGTCCTGAGGAACTGTTACCGTATTGGTTCGTACCGTTTGTGTTACTATTCATGTTGTACTGGCCAGAATTGTTAGTAGGGAATTGATTCATCGAACCGCCGTTGAAATATTGTCCTTGGTTTGTGAACGGAGGAGTAGCCTGCCTCAATTGCCTGGGGTTGCCCATGGACATCATATTGTTAGGCGCGAAGTTGTTTGAAGGACCCAGCGATTGTTGTGAGGGGTACTGGTTGAAGTTCGGCTGCCTCGTACTACAAAAAAAATTACAAATTAATCATAAGTTTGTATTAGATATAACGATTGCTTACTTGTTGTAAGGGTATTGACTGTTGGGGTTAAAATTAGGATTCATCGATGCAGCCATGTTGGGATTCATATTGGGGTTCATGTTGGGGTTCATCGAAGGATTCATTGAAGGGTTCATATTAGGATTCATAGAGGGATTTAAATTTGGATTAATATTGGGATTCATGGAAGGATTCATTGGGTTCATATTGGGATTCATGGTGGGGCACGTATTGGTGTAATTTTGCTGCGAACGGCTTTTTTGATTCATGTGCATCGCAGGCGAAGGGTAAGGGGTCATCCTTCTGGGGTACATAGAATTTGAATTTGGTCCTGGGCCTTGCATGCCCATTTTAGGCCCCATATTGCTCATCATATTATTGTGCATTCCACCCATATTCATATTCTGAAAAATAACAACAAAAGAAATTATTAATACCGTCGAAATGGTTAAATATTAACGTGTATTACCATTGGGTTCATGCCGTTCATTCCGTTCATACCCATCATGCGCTGCGGATAGCCCTGCTGGTATTGTTGATTGTTAAATTGCGAATTGTCTTGTAACGCCACCACGCTGGCGGTGGCTGTGGCTGTAGCCGTGGCTGCGGCTACCATTGCTGCGGTACTCAATGCGTTTCCGCTTCCGTAACCTTGGTCACCACCATTCATAACATTACTTGCACCATAACCTCTGCAACATCAAACGGGATCGATTACAAACGAGTTAGTTCGTTCGGAGAGCGTTGACCAACATTTTCTCAGATTCTCTGAGAACGTTTTTTTTTATTGACAATGGTCCCGCTGAGGGGTGGTAAGTCACAAAAAAGAGGGCGAGAAACAAATAATAATTTGTGGGGTACGAGATCGGCGAGCGCATAGGGGTGAAAGAGGAGCAAAATTCTAACAGAGACGTATTCATACGAGATGAAATCGTTAGAAAAATATTAATATTAATAATTCTATCTTCAATACTTATGGGTAGAATTTAACGATTATACAAAACGTATTTGTTGCGAAGCAGTTATTTGGGGATGTTTAATATATTTTATTTTGATCATTTGAAACGCACTGTGGGGATTTAAGAGTCCTGTCCTGATGGGACTAAATCTGAATGCTAGCAAGACAAAAAGAATAAAACAGACTTTCAATTCAAACGGATATCGTAACAAAACGAATGTGAGAAAAAGACAGAACCTCAGTAGCAAAAAAACCTTTCCTATTTGCTTAAAAAGAGCGGGTAAAACCCAATGCAGAACAATAGATGACGCTGGGGCGACTCCGATTGTTTAAGGAAAGATTAGTAAAGTGGAAGGGAAATTGTCCCATAATTTATGCCATTGCGTTTTTTAACGATTACTCGGTTTAATAACTAATTGTTTGATAAATGTATACATTCGTGTGGGCATAATAAAACACCTGTGTTAAATAATGGGTGACGCGGACACGTAAAATTTAATGTACAATAATTCTAAACTGATACAAAATCTACAGCATCTAAATAAATTTTGTTTTGACTTTAGTGTCTTTTAAGTCTTGAAAACTTGGCATTCATTGCTCAATCAATAGATAAACCAACAGGAGGGAAAACAACAGACCGCATTTTTATAACGTGTGAAGTTATCGCGCAATAAAAAGAAAAAAAACCGTTTAGTTTAATCCATATCAATGTCGTATCGGTTATAATAACAGAATGTCTGGCAGTTACCTTCCATTATGAGGACATTTCTAGAATAGGTATAAAATACAATAACAACGACACAATAAGGGTAAATTCATTATTGTATTCGACAATCTGCTTTCGTCAACCGAAATATCAAACCCTCTTCCACTCGTATGCATATGAAAAAACAGCGGCGCGCCAGGGAAGACAGCAAAAAAATGCATAATAATTTTGTATTTAATAAAATATTTATTGCTGTATTGATTATCCCATGAAAATCTTGTAAGTAAATTGTATACACAACTTTACCAAGCCAATAATAAGGTCGTTTTAACTAGTTAATAATGTATTTATAGATTAATATCCCTCGTTACGGAAATTGATCAGTATTTATTAAATAATTTAACCAATTAGATGTTCAATAAAAACCGAAGACACACTAAACCCGATACGCACAAATAATCGAAACCGCTCTAGCGTGGTTTTTAACAGCTCTATATCCGACTTGTAACGGTTGTCCTCCAAAAGTCGAGAATTATAAGTGTACCTACCCAATAATTCATTTCGAACGACATCGCCACCCCAGGTATATACGGCGTTTTTTGGCGAGAATCGACAATTAGGGTTGGTTTTACACTCAAACAATGGTGACCTAGTGACAGGGCGCGGGGTGGTTGGGAGGTCGAAGCGGAGGGAAAACAGGGGGTGGAATCGAGTATTGTCAATAAACGGTGTGCGTAAGAGGGAGAAAGCGAAAGGTTTGTTGGTTATTTAGCCGAGTGAGAAAGTGTTACGAGGGGAACTTAATAAGGTGGATGGTCTGAAGATCCTCAAGCGTATATAATTTTAGAATGCGCTAAGTAGATATTTATGTATTTATAGGAGTACTTTTTTCTGCAGTTTATCATTCAGAACTGCACCACAATTTTTCCACATTCCGTTTTTTAGGAAGGTAATGGCAACGGAACAATTCCCGAAAAATGTTTGGTAAATAAAACCGAAGCTTGATAGTAAACAAAACCATTGATTATTTTATTTTTAACTCATGGTTGAGTGAAATACCCACATAAACAGGCCGTTTCGTACGATCACCGGTGTTTGTCAATACCATTGCAATAATTTATTATTGTTTACATCAACGTCTGGAATGTTTCGTCTCATTGTTTAAACAAGCAATACAATTTCGGCGATTTTTTATTGTTGCACTATCGGTCGCAAAGGTTATTCTTTTCGAAAATATCCTGTCAGAATAAAATTTTCCATTTGCTTCAATAACTAGATTAACCGGCATCGCTAAGTAAATCTAATAAATCAATTGTAAATCATACGGCTTCGAAAATTTACTACACAAATTTTCACCTACTGTCGCAAGTACGAAATCGTTTTAACCCCACTTAACAGATCCTAAAAGGTATTTACTTAACCTTTTTTCAGGTAAGCGCTGGCGATTATTGTGAAAACACTTTTACAATATTTTGGAACAAGACCAGCTGCGATTTACCTAAAGGAATGCGCCCGGACAGAATAGAAATGGTCACAGAAAAGGCGGAATAGTTCTCTGAAAGGTATGCAAATGGGGGGCTATTATAAGCATTTTTCATTTTCTCGGTAGGTACCTGAATGTTGTGATTGAAATGATCACGCCTTGTACAGGAACTGTTGAAAAATGACTTTGGGCTATTGAAGTGTTGATGCGGATGTTTCTGAACGTTTTTGCTCAGGTAGATAATGGTGGTAAAACTGATATTTTAATCACATTGGCGAGGTAATTGCTTTAAATTTTAACAGACAATTAATTTTGGCGAAGGAAACGGTAATTATGCATATTCTAAATTTTGGCGAAGGCTGCAGTTGTCTAAATATTAAATTAAACTCGTTTAAAATCGATTATTTACATGATATTATTACAAACGCAAATAATACCTTAAGCAATCTAGAGCTGGGCAAGTTAAATTAATAATTGCGCCGTTGATTAATTTAAAGTAATTTATTAATTAAAATCTTAACTTAAAAGTAATCTTGTATATCTAGCGAGATTTTAATTGTTTTATGTCAACACTACTTCGTTAAGAATATTATTTATATGAGAGTTTGATTAAAAGCGATTAAAAAGTCAATGTGGCGATAAATTAATTAGTGGTTAATTAATCCACAAAATGTTTAGAAAATTATCGTTTCCACAATTGGAGAAAATGGTGTTTTAATGAATGATTAAAAATGGTGGAGGCATAATTTCCAGAGAGTAATTTTGGTTTTTGAACCTATTCGGCAATTTACTTAAACACTGTAAGCATCATTGTTTAATTTAAAAGTTTATTAATAATTCATACGGTAATTATTTATCCACAATTCAGTAATTTAAAATTTTGGTGTAGGCAGTGGGTTTCCGAAGGAATTAAAAATTAACCGAAGGTATTAAAAATGGTGGAGGAGCTAATCAATTAAGTAACATTATTTTGTGATAGGTCTGGAAACGTTAATAACAAAGTGATTAAACTATCTGAATTTTTCGTTAATATCTAAATTGATTTGTCGGTATTCGAAATAACATGAACATGATTTCATTATGAAAGTGGAAGAATAATTTTAACGCATCTATCGGAGATTTTTTAATTTGAATTGCCTGGTGCGAGCTATACGAGGGGATACATAAATTGTTCCGCAACTTCTACTTCTACATCCTGTAGGTACTTTAGTAACTACGATTACGGTTTTAAGGTTGATCACTTAGCATGTTATATTCGATAAATATTGACATTCTGATTAGGACTTGCTGTAATATTGTGATTTTTATTGTAGTAAGCCGAACTTGTTCAGCTATGTATTTCGTGGTTTTAGTATTTTGAAATTGCATAGTTTTATCTCTGCATGACCTTATCAAGGCGTGGTTGATATAGTTACTATGTAGATTTGTGTAGATACATTTTAGGTAAAACCGACTCAATAGTTTAGCGCTTATCTCTAATATGTACCTTTGCTTTACATGGGCTATCTTATAGGTATAATAAAGTTATTGACTTCGCTTTTTAATTGCGCACATAATTTATCGTTCGTATACACAGTCAAATCATTGACATCACAGAAATTCCTATTTATCTACCATTATAGGTCTTAGGTGTCTCAATTGCCTTTTATCTTCCTACTTAGCAACCGTTTAGGTTACTTGATTCTCTCTCCACAAATATCACCATCGTAAATATCGTTATATACTGGCAACAAATTCAACTTACCCTGGAGGTATGTTCTGCCTGTATCCCCCTTGGTAGCCTCCTTGTTGCACCTTTCCCGTGGCGGCTTGTCCTCCAAGGTAGCTGGGGTTTGCGTTGGGTGTCGGGCCACCCGTGTAGGCGCCCCCGTGGGGACCCGACTGCGTCGTGGTGCTCACTCCCCACACCGTGGTCACGACCGATAACTGCTGCTGGGCACCAGACCCCGGTCCTGTCCAGTCCCTACCAAAAAAACCCCTTTGTCAAATACTATTTCTAATCCTTTTATATCTTTTTTAGTCTTAGTATTTGTCTTTATGAATGAAATGCTTAATCTAACAAAGTAATTTAATTCCTGATAATATTTTGCTAGTTTAACGAAAGCACGAAAGCTTTGTGGGTAGGTAACGTGGTTCTTTGAAATAATGGTAGTACGAGGTAAAAGGTAGATTGTGTACGTGTATAATCAACCGATCGACGTAGTTAACTGTTTATTTTAAATAAGTGTAAGTCTTAGGATGAAACTGTACACGTTCTTTAATAATAGTATAAAAAATACGAAAAGTACTGTAATTCTCTAGCCGTGGGAGTGACTAACAGCGAGCTTAGTTCAATAGTATATTAGTACAAATTCGCTTAATTACTTCTCTCGCTTAAGGGATCTTCATTGACAGGAGCACAAAATTTTACTCAAAACAATAATATCAATATCTTATCGTTTTTTAGCGAAAGACTAATACCTACCTCAATATTGAGCAGATCGTGATTTCGTTAAATTGGTTAAGATTATCTATTCTATCGATAATTTTTATTGAAACCTTATTTTATTTATAGAGACAATACTATTGACTGCATTACAATTAAGAATCTATTTACGCAAACGAAGTTCATAGACTTGTTAATTGTTCAAATTTAGGTACTTAATTTTAATTTTCTAAAGTGGCAAAACCGATTAGCATATTGCGTAGGTAATACACACTAAATTTCGTCGTAATATATCGTTTATAAAAAAATTAGACTGCCATAAAATAGTCAAGAAAAATTTACCATTAAACCGGGCGAAAAAAATTTTAAATAGTTTATTCAAAGAGCTAAATTTATCTAGGAATAGTATGAATTAACAAAATGTTTATCGTGTAGCCACCAACATAATCGGGTATTTAAATTGTAAACACATTGTGTGACATAACCTTAACGCTTTAGAGTTCACACCATCTGTCTGGCTGTCTGCATGCTGTCTGCCTCTTCTATTATTTTAATTAATAAATATGCAAAAATATTCATACCTCATTTGCGTAAATAAATCCATAATAAAATTAGAATTAGAATCGATTAGAAGATGTGCAATTTAAATCCAAAGTCAAATCGGCATAGGTAAACGTATACCAATCTCGATATTATCGAAGTCACTATTTGTTGTAAACCGTGTTTTGAGACGAAAATTTGTTTACGCCAAACGTTATTTTTCTGCACTACACAATTTTTGTTATTCTTAATTCGCGGCTTAAGAAAAAATATTTTCGAACGCTTATTTTAAAAGTTTTGTTTTTTCACTAGATTCACAACATGTTTGTACGAATTCAATAATCCTTTTTTTGGAGAAATCCAATTTTTTTTTAATTGTCCATTTCGAAAACACCACTTAATTGACACTATTTATCCACAGCTCATCCACAATTAGCAAGTCCTATCGAAGTTGGTCCGATTCCAACTTCAATATAACAATATCTAAGGATATTGAAAGGATATTTAAAATCGGTCTCTTATAATCCCGAGAAAGTAGAGACGACTAAAAATAAATTTTGAAAAATTATAACAAAGCTCAATCCGATTAAATGCTTTATTATAGCAGTACATTGTAAGTTATTAAAAGTTAGTGATTTACACAAAGGTCATAACAGTTGGTTAAATTAAGGCCTAATTCTTTAGATGAGTTGCAGTCAAAATTTAATTGAAAACAAAGCTTACATACTTTAAAATGATATAAATATTAGGTGTTAAATTAAACCAACTTTTGAATTAAACGGTTCATTTGGCAATGTGCTTGCACACGTTGCAAGCTTCTATGGGATTCACAAATTTTACAACAATCCTCGCTAAAGGCACTAACGTTTTGACACACACAACATAATCCAATAAAGCTTTAGTATTCCTTAGGCTCTTCAGATGCATATAAATATTCACTTTACACGATATCCCGATCAAACTCCGGATTTTTGCACATCTTCATCACAGCTCTGATACCATACCTGTAGGAAGTATATCCCAGCATTTGTGGGTAAACATAAAGAAATCAATGTTTAGTGCGACACTTCGAAAACCATATTAATCCAAGCAAGAGAGTCAGTCCTGAGAAAAGTGAGTTATTTTGGAGCACACACCAACGCGTACGACTCGCTCGATGCACGACGTTCAACTGTCTGCCTGTGGGAGAAACAACGGCACGTAGGCTCGATAGTGGGGATGGGCTTCAGGGGAAGTTTGACCCGAGTAGCTCAGACTCTCCTCCATTCCATGCGGCCACAATATCGGTTATGGCGGGCGACGTTGCCGGATCTCGGCGAGTCGACAGATACCGTGGGTGGGTTGGTAGCCGGAGAACGCTTTGGCCTTCTTTCAGAGGCGTGGGGCCGGGCGGGCGTCAGGTAGTCGATATAGCGCAGATAAGCGCTGTAAAGCGACGTGTTTGTATAATGGAGTTGATACGTTCCGAGTCGAGGATGTATCGCCCTTTTGGTGGATCCGCTTTGCCGCAGTAGCGGCTCCACGGGTTGGCACATAGTTTTTATATATATGGCTTCGGTGCTCTTTTGCTTGCGAAACATCGATTTCTATTATCTCATGAAATTGTCACTTAAGTTAATAAAGCATTGGAAGGGTTGAAGATCCTCTTTATAGAGGAATCTCGGAGGGATCTTGTGGAGTTGGTATAAACTTGATGGGCTATTGTTATAGAAGAATCTTAGATTCTCCTTATCAATTACAATGCTAATTCAGAGTAAGATTTTTTAATAAACTACTAAACTTAGGGTTTTTTGGAACCTAATTCTAATATCATAGGCATTCTTCTTCAATCATTGAATGTTGCAGCAACATGACCAAACAATGTCTTCGTATGTACATCCATATAGTTATTTTCTGCCCAGTTTAAAACCCCATCAAGAATATAGCGGCTAATTGTGTGAAATCGCTCCAAAACGACGAAAGAGAAGAGGAAAATTCTGTCTCAACACTGTCTTAAGATGTTATTTTCATTCATTCTTTTTATAGCTTTTGGCTCTGTCGCCCTAAAAATAGCACTTCTAATTTCGAATTGTTTTTGTATTTTGAATGTAAAAGATATAATTAATTGCATCTAAACGAAAGTGCTCGATACCGTTCGTGGTGTGATATTTTTAGTGTATAGAATGCAAGCGTGCTCGGTGCATTGAATCGTTAAAATGCCTGTTTACAATTACAATCGAAATGTTGATTTATTTAGGGAAATTTCGGTAAAATTTTAGGTTATAAATTGTTTGTTAATCAAAATATGGGATTTTTGTTGCTATCTACGAAATGATAATCAATTGTTGCCAAACAATTGCTGATAATAACTAAAAGCATGTCGAGACAAGCATAATGTAAATCCTGTAGTAAATTTAACCTTAAATAAGGATGTACTTAACCAGTTTATGCAACAAGTAAATAAGAACTAATCTTAAATTCTCAAAAAATTGATAATTATGGGTTTTCCTCAAGGCTACTTCAATTCTAAATACTTCTTAGAAATTTTTCTGAGGGTTGGTTAGGTACATTTAATGGGAATTTTAATGTTTTACGACGTCCTGTTTGGTATCCTGTTGTTTGTTCGCCGTTTCTAAATCAAAAATTTCGAATAGATAACAAAGGTATTTCAACAACTTATACAGATAAATTTGAGAAGTAATGAGATGATGTAATAAAATTACATAAAACAAATAGTTTGGGATTCCTGGATACTACTACTAGTAGATTGGTATTTGAGCATGACAAACATTTTATCAAAGCCGGCTTTTTTCGATGGATTTTTCTTAATTCATGCATTACGTGTATGATTAAACCACAAAAAATGGAGTAGCAAAAACCACTTTTCGGGAATAATTACGCCATTTAAATATTCCAAATAATTGCAAAAATTCCAGCAATATTGATCACAACTGTGGATAATTTAAACACCACCAGCGTAAAAGTTAATCGTGAACCATACGAAGGCATCACAAATTTCCAACGCAAAAGGCAGCTCGGCCCAGACATTCGAAAAGCACCATCGAAAATTTCCCATTCCCGCGTTCAATTACCAGGCCGTCTTCCGGGTGTCGGGCAGCCGAAATCAAAAGCGCGCTCCATCGGCATCGCCCTCTCTTTCCGGACCGTGCGGGAAGCGGCGCGAACGACGACCTTCTTCGAGGCGGCGAGGTGAAGCGCCCGTGCGACGTGCGATACGCGATTCGCGAAACGAGAGAGCCCGCGAGAGTTGCGAAGTTTTTGACACCAGGAAGACGCGAATAGGACGTTCGGGAAGTAGCTGGGTCGCTTTCTCTCTTTTCGTCGGTTTATTTATGGAGACTTCTGAATTTATGCGGAATTCGTCGCTCGTTTTGATACGGATTAGGCAGTGGTGGGGCGATGGTTCGGCCTCTGCTAGTGCCGCTGGAGTTGGGGATATTGTGGTTTTTATATAAATTTTGGGTATTTTAGGAAATTAGGATAGGGGTTGGATATACGGGTCATTCTAGAAAGATTAGACATATTAGATTACTAAGGATAAAAGGATGAGCTTTTGGAAATTAGGTCATTTTACCCTACTCCTTTCTTCCACCTCTATCTATCTATCTAGTATTTCTTAGTAAGGTTAGATATTTTGCAATGTTTTGAAGCACTTTTGAAACCTTTATACACATTTCGTTAAAATGGATGATTCTGCAAACATTAGAAATTATCCTAATAAATTTAAGGATGAAAGGATTGTTTTGTAAATATGGGTTTTTGGAAAGTGAGAATGGTGTTCTCTTGGAAATTTGGTTATTTTGCATTAGGATATAAATTAAGAATATTACTTGGAATAATGAGTCATTTTAAAAACGTATTAAGCTTATCGGATTATGATAAGAGGTTTCTTCGTAAATCTTGGTTTTTGGGTTTATTTGCATACAGAAATTTAGTGATTTTGGAAAGTTAGGAAACTTTTGAAAACTTGCACATATTTAGAATACGGTTTTGAAAACTGGGTCATTCTGGAAACATTAGACATAACGGATTATAAGGATAAAAGGATGAGCTTTTGGAAATTAGGTCATTTTACCTACTCGTTGCTTCCATCCCTATCCGTCTATTTAGTATTTCTTGGCAGTTCTAGATATTTTGCAAAGTTGTGAAATCCTATACACATTTTGCAAAAATGGACCATTCTGCAAACATAAGACATTTTCCTAAAAAATCATTAAAAGCATCAGCCTAACTAATTACACTGTTATGTAAAACGCCACTGAATAAAATATCAGCAAACATCGGAAAATCGGTGGATCCCCAGTTGGTGATGGCTTCCACTGCTCGCGCCGTTCCGCTGGTAAATCGGTCCCTTATTCTCGGAAACGCGGCCCGAACACCGGATTTACATTTTCATATTTTAAATGCGGCTTGACTTGTTTGAAAAGTTACAATAGCGTCGTATAATGCCCTCACTCCGTTTCGAAATTATTTACCTGATACGGATATTCCGCTCCCTCTCGCAAAGAAGACGTTCGAGGGGATCGTTTCAGACGGTCTTAGTGGGATTTTCGAGTGTTTACGTCAGAGATTTTAGCGCGCCGATTTGACTATTTGGGTGAAAAACTGATATGGGGAGCAACATTTTGATAATAGTTCACCTCTGTGTTTATTATATTTTTTTTTCCAAAGTCATCTGCGTAATTCCGTAATGTTAAGGTTATTAAATTAATGTTTTTTTGTTTTGACGTATTTCTGTTTTTTAAATAATATTGTATGTAAATTTCTAAATTCGATGAAAATTAACTTCATAAAAAATGTTTTTTAACAGATTCAACGTTAAATTCAATATAAAATAAATATTGCAAAGTAAATATTGGATTTTGACAATTGCATCTTATTCAATCATTTTCAAAATAACTTGGGAAGGTAAATTTATAAATGAGGGATAATGTAAAATTATTATCTTAGCTTCTCTAATTTATATTGGCATTAAATCGAATCAAAGTCGATTTAAATCATTATTCAAAAGTACATTGACTGCATTTAAAGTTACGTGAATGGCAAAAAGGTTCGTAGTCTCTTAGGAAATTGATTTTGTATGTCGAATCGATTTTATTAGCCATTTATATAATGCGAATTTCACTTTGCCTATACGCGAATACATCGAAATGTATAATTTTTGTCTGTGCGGTTTTCGTCGATTTCTGCAGGTATTTTCCGACAGTGTTTTATAAAATTATGAAAACGGATTTTTGTAGAATTTTTATTATTCGCGTTCTGTTTTTACAACAATACCTCGCCACATGTATTGTAAATTATCACGTCATTGTTAATATGTTTATGGAAACGATGGTTAATTAAATTAATTAACTAATGCTCGTTGATTACAAGGTTTTTTTATAAGCAGTTTAATTAGGATTAAATTGGTTTTCTGTTTTGTTACTTAAAAAACTCATTTATCCTATTTCGAAAAACATAGTAGATTCAATGAAATTGTACCTACAGCTTTATAGAATAAGACATTCAGTTTCAGAATGAACACTTTTAAGAATTTTGCGCTTTGATTTTTTTATCGTAAGAACGATATTAATTGATTTAATTACCCGCCTAGACAGTGATTTACTTACCGGATGTCAAATTACCCAGACATTAGAAACGTTTATCAAGTAGGAAAAGCAGCGACAGTTAGAATTACCATATACCATCATACCGAAACCATGTCATCGTGGAACTGAATTAGAATCAGAACGTGACACGATCATTTTTTAAAAAGTATTTCTCGGCTTACCGTGTTCAAGAAAGAATTTTATTAATGAGGTTATTATTATGCAGCCGAGCCGCATTGTTGCCAAGTATGAGGTCGATAGAGTAGAGATTGCGTTTCATTGAAATTTAAATAATAGAATCGTTTATATTTAAATACGCGTTTATTATTAATTAATTCCGGTCTGGAATGCCTTTTATTTTGAGTTTTTTTTTCGTTCATTTGTTGCACTCCACTTTGAATTGTGCAAGTCCGTTTGTTGCTAACTGATTTTTTAAAATGTACCTTGTACATTCACCAAGGGAGCATATTGTTCAATACACTACATTCGTGCCTCAAATAATTAACATAACATTTACAAAAATGCACTTTATAATAATCTAATTAATAAAAAATAATTGATAAGTATAGTACTTC